AGGAGGTGCCCGTTTTTTTTGGGGGGGGGGGGCAGGGAGGAGGAGTGGGGGATTAGGCACACTATTTTAAATAGGGTGGAACCAATGGGAGTCAATCGGTGGTGGACGGGGGGAGACAAGTTCCCCCGCCACTTTTTTGGCGTCCCCTAATAAAAATTGTAGTCTACTTTAATGGTTCTATTGCTCAAAATAGCTGACTCCAAACTCTAAAATGATGTTTAAAAGATGATCGTTTGCTCACAAACATTGGTTTTAGTGGTCAGAAATTGCCTCAGAATGATCACAGTGCGTCTAGAATCCATTTTTTTGTCCGGGGCCCTTAAGCGCCCCCGAATTGCGAACCCCACGCCCGGCTTCGCGCTGCGCGCTCACTTTAGTGCCCATGAAGGTATGCCCCCCCCCCCCCTACACACACACACACTTTTGAGAAGCGATTGACGCCCTTGGTGGTACCTGGGGCACGGACATACGCTGAGGTATGGGGTAAAAGGGAGAAGTAAAAACGATTTAAAAACAGTCATCGTCACTCCAACTTCTGGTATAATAAAAAATATAAATAATAAATGGCACTTATTTAAAGGGTTGAGCCGGGGTGGAAGCATTATATGTAAAAGTTTACACGTAATGCACTATAAAATGACGTTTGTTTTTGTATTTTTGAGCCCCCCCCCCCCTCCCCCAAAGAGGTCGTCAGCTTTTTTTTGGGGGGGGGGGTATTTTTTGTTTTAAGTTCCACGATTTGACCTTGGTGATTTTGTAACTATGTGGCCTATTTTCCAGTAGTATAATAGGGGTGTAAGTGCCGCCACCAAAGTCAAAGTAGTCCGCCCCCCCCAAAAAAAAAAATCTGCGGCCAAAAAATGTTGGCAAAATTCGTTGAAAAAATGTTAACTTCTACAAAATTTGACAAAATCAATTGTGAATCCTCCCCCCCCCCCAACAAAAAAAATCCTGGGTGCGTCACTGTTTACTAACCAAACACCGAGTAAATCAAATGTGTTAAAAGTTTCAGAATGTGTCTTTTCTCTGACTTCTTGGTCCACCTTTATACATGAGCTGAATTGAGCCCGTTGTAGTTTGATTTGTTCTCCTTTTAGTTACCCTCTTCTTTGGTTACCCTTTCGAATCACACCCCTCATTTTTAATGTTGGTAACATCAGCCGCGTATTTCAGGCCGCCAATCATAAGTGGGGTGTGGGACCAGTTTTCCAGGTAAATGATTCAAAGAATGTCTTTATATTTTACCAATAATAGATCGTCTGTATTTATCATATTTCTTTTCTCTTTGTTGGAAATTTAGTTATATCAATTATTTAGGCCTACAATTGGGTGAAAAATCAGCGCATTTTAATGAAATAGGTTTGTTTACATTGTAAACGTTTGTTTCCAATTCTGACGAGAGTTGCGAAGTTTAGAGGTTTTTAAATAGAAGGCAAAGCGCAGATTGAAACAATCCCCTAGTGTTTCCACCTATTAAGACTCATTGGTTCGAAGACAATCATAAGGATGGCCGAATAGCCTAGTGGTTAGAGTCGTTGTCCGCAGATCCAGGGGACCGGGTTCGAATCCTGATTCGGGTATTTATTTTTTTTATTTTAAATACACGCGCTCAGTCATTTACTTTGAGAGACTTAATTTTCCGCTGTCTTATACCAACCGACCTTAGCTCAATGTGTTCACCGGCTGGGACTGTCTGCGAAGTCCAGGTTATGCATATCATTATAGGTACTATTTTGCTGTCTCGGCAGCAAGGCATAGGGGTGTCGCCTCGTTTCCTCCCTTAACGGTGCTTTGCCCTTTGGGTTACATGGATGGACAGGGAAGGAGGTGTGGTGGGCCCGGAATCCGAGACCCAGGAAGAGTCCTATATGGGAGTCGGTTGAACCATTTGCGACCACTGAATGCTTGGTCAACACCACATAACTTTTTTTTTTAATCCCCTGATGATTTTTTTTTTCACTTTTCATTTTGTCAAGACTGTATACGGCACACACACACACAAAACGAAAAATAAATTATTTTAGGCCTAAATAGGCTGCCTTATATTTAAGGGGGCATTCAGAATAGTCATGTTTAAAAATTAGTCATGTTTCGAAATTGTTTATAATGTGGCTGGGCCCATCCACGCCAAATGTCAGGATAAAACTTTTTGCTCTAGTATCTACACACAACACGCATGCACAACATGAACACGCATGGCCACGGCGGGGCTTGAACCATGCACAAAAGATAAAAACAAAAAGGAGAAAAGGAGAAAAAGAAAAAGAAAAAGAAAATCAAAATTGTATTAATGTGCACAATTCTTCAAATAAGTCCAAAGATTGGGCACATATTCTAATCGTAACGTTTTAAGTCACCAGAAACGAAATGTAATGCCAACAACAGTAAAACGAATGACCAAAAAAAAAAAAAACACGAATGACCGGTAGTATTTTCAATTCAACGCCGATGCTATACACGAGACGAATTTCAAAAATGTAGGACAAAATTCAAATTGAAAATTGAGCTTGGCGATGTTCGGGGTCGAAATTCAAGCATCGAAATAGGGAATTCGTGTGATGCAAGTGTTAAAGGAACCGGGAAAACCTATATTATGCCAAGCAGGTGTTGTCTCTAGTTTTAATGTTTGCAAAAGCGAGTTATCATGAGTTGATCACTGAATAGAATAATCAGGAAACCATATTTGGTAAGATGTATTCGACTTGCATTATTATCTGCATCAAGCAGCTCACTAACTTATTATGATTGGCTGTAGTGCTAGCAGCCATGACATACCAGCAATTAAGGTATTACAGAGGCAACACCCTCTAATCTTCTGAGATTCCACTGATTGATATATGCCATAATTTGCCAGGAAAATTTTGGTGTTCGTTTTCAATAGCTTTTCAAATAATCTAGAGCTTGATTGCCCGAATTGTGTATGTTTTTATTTTTTTTTGATAATGGCGTTCCATAATGGTCGGCGGTAATAAAAAAAAAGGTGTAGTTGTTTCTTGGGTCGAGATCCCGAAATAGGGTCGTTCGGCTTTTCGTATGTTTACCCCCCCCCCCCAAAAAAATGCGTGGGTTGAACTGTTAAACTTGAATAGCGCCCTCAATTTGTTAAAAGTAATCGCTGTACAATATTATGTAATCACACACTAGTTTCTTTCTAATCACAACAGCAAAGATCACCTGATATCATAGAGCTGTATAATATTATACAGCTCTATGCCTGATATATATCTTGAATCCTAACATGAACACACGTAAATAACAATAACTGTTTTGGCAAACAAGTTGCGGGAAACAGCTAACATGTAAGAACTACTTTTCGTACGTTTAACTTTTTTTTGCGTAGTACTAGTAAGTTTGGCCGTTAAAATTAAATAGCGCCCACATTCTCCTGAAAGTAACCACACAACATAATCACGTACGATTCTTTGCACTCGGTAAAGCAAAGAACCCCCTATACAACCTCCATGCTATAACTGTGTCCTTGGTTGTTTGTACAATTCTGGTATTTGTGGCCTCTGAGGGTAGGTCAGTAGAAAAAATATGGAACATAAATTGTAAAACATTGAATTTTGCAACGTTTGACACGCCAAAATTGTGGATTATATGTACTTTATGTATGAATGTACATGTACATTATGTACCTGTACATTACATTTCACATAATGTATTGCACATTTTGTACATACACATATACACATATACATGTACATGTACATGTACATGTACATGTACATGTACATGTACATGTACATGTACATGTACATGTACATGTACATGTACATGTACATGTACATGAACATTTACATGTACATGTACACGTACATTTTGAACATGTACAATGTGCATGTACAGTACATGTACATACAGTACATGTACATGTACACTGCACGTAACCGGTCGCGTTGCATGCCCAGCTAGAACCGTATAATCATTATGACTGGAAGGGTGACGTCACGATATGAATTATTCATGATTTAGGGGACGGCCATGATATCGATACGATTAGGACTGTCTCATCCTCGCTAGTTAGCCGCCGCCCGTACCAGAATAATGAAACTACTCCGCCTATCGAGGATGATACATGAGCGTTTTTGCTTTTCGTTTGTTTGTTTGTTTAATAAAATAGAAAGACAAATTTCATCCCCAGAAGATTTTTTTTTCTTTCTAGCTTTCTATCCAAAAGAGGAATTTATGTTCAATAAAATCAAGCCCATTATCGACATGGAGCAAAATATTCTTTAAGTACAAGTCGGCGCACTCGCGATCCCGTTTTTGTTGTAAAATGTCATATTTTTTGCTAGCAGAAATTTGGATTTTACTTTGAAGGCTTCATTCGGCACTTCAGCGCCTCAGGCGTAGCTAGCTACGGGGGGCGTGGGAGCCCCCGGGGCGCACGCCCCCGCCCCCATATAACAAGTCCCCCCATTTGCCCCCACTGAAAACTTTGGCGTCCGGAGAAAGCACAGCCATATCTGGAAAAACATAAAGTCCTGTTTTTCCCGCGATTTTGTGCGTATTTTTTTCCAAAACTGTTTTTCCCGCGAGTGGCTGTTTATTTAAACGTCCCTTGGAAAGCGATTAGCGGTAGTTATTGTAGCCATGATATATGTTTTAAAAAGCGCCCCCCCCCCCCACTATTTTATTTTACGGAGGGTGGGTGTCCGGTGAAAAAAACCCTGTTTAAACCCCCTGTTTACCTTTCAGCACTGAAACGACGAAACTGTTTTGGGCGCCCCGGCCCTCCATTGTAACCCTAGACATAACCTCAAGCCCCCGACACGCCACCTACGATGAGAACCCCGGCTATGCCGCTGCGTCTGACATTTGACCAGGTTTACCTGTTTATTGTAGAGTATTTGTAATTGTTAATACCGAAGTTTTATCGCATCATGACTTGCCCCATAATGGAGGATACCTCAAGGGTAGTAAATTCTCCGAATCAAAAGGAATCGCTTAGTCCAGTGACCACGCCCCTGTTAAATAATTGATCATTAAGCTTATGCATTATTCAGTAAGTCACATGATGCCCGTCAATCACCTGCAGCGTTGTTGTGCTGTGCCCGCCGCCATAATAGCCGTACGTCGGACTGACGCTAGACTGACAATTCAAGGTATGTCACTCAATGTCTTATTTTCTCAATCCAGCCCTAGTCTGCTGTCATCTTTATAATTCAGCCATCTTTAACACCTCTGTTTAAGTGACTGACTGAACGATATCTATGACCAGAAAATAACGGATAAATCCCATTGAAAGGCTTTTTTAGATTGTACATTACAGACCACTTCTTTTTTACCTGTGTGTCTTTGTTGAGCTGTTGTGCTTGCCCTTTGCCGTGCTTTAGTTTAGGGTAAATCTAAACGGAAGGATTTTTTTTTCGATTTTAGGGAGGAGTCGTATAAATGAAAGCGACAGCTGCCGTTTTGAAATCTTTTGTGTTGATATTATGGTCGGCCCAGTAGTTAACACGACTGGGTAGTGGGATTTGCGTTTACCAAAGTGGAGCTATACAAAAGGAGAAAATCCAACACACGATGTTAAACAAACTTAGGCCTCGCCCGATCGGCATGCAAGTGTGCCATTGCTACTTGCGTACATCGTAGTACACATGGGTTTGTGCAACATGATTGTGTACATGTACATTGATATTGTAAATGTACATAAATACATGTACTGAATGATGTACTGAATGCACACATGTACTGAATGATGTATCGTCAGTCCACCTAAAATGACGATATGTTTTGACGCACTCGCATTCAATTTGCGTTGGACAACGTGCGCGCGTTGCAAGTGTTATCTGCGTCAATTATGGTGACTCGAGGATATATCATTAGTTTTATGTTTACCATATTACATGGTACACAAGAAACAGTTGTCGCAGATCTGTGTTTGTACTCAGGCGTGCAATTTTGCTTCAGAACCGCTGATTTCCTCGTGTTTTTAATTCTCATGAATGTCAAATGTTACAAATTGAAAGACACTGTACAATGTCTTGATTATAGTTTGGAATTTGCTTGTTTTCCCCTAAATTCCCAGTTGCGCACCAGGCTGTAGTGTGTACAGGTCATGACATGTCCTGGTGGTACATACCGCAACAGCAACTTGCAAGTAGGCCTGTTGCAGCGTAACTAGGAATCAACGGATTTGTAAATTTGGTGCGCCGAAACTAGGAATTTCACATTTGTATTGCATTTGTAAATCCGGTGAGGTACGATATCGTTCACGAACATAACATGGCACGGCCGGTAAAACAAGGACTATTTTCGTTACTACATGTATTTATTAATGGAAGGCCCCAAAACTTAAGTATTTGGTGTTAAGAAAATTTAAGTAGTTAGGTCAAGCAAAACTATTCTGAGACTGAATGATCACTAGTGGCCATAGAGCAACGAACAGAGTCCGGTCATACTAATAAAGTAATAAGCGTCAACACAGCGTCAACACCTCCAAAACGCATTCAAATTGACAAAACCAGTGTTCAAACCGTAAAGTATGGGCAAAAATGAAATTGTGGCTTAAAATCAATAGGTCAAATGTTTAAAAATTGCAATTTTCAGTTCAAGAAAATTGTCTCTCCGTGCAGCTCAAAAAATTGGCGGCCATGTTGGTTCAGGGGCAGCGCGGATTACGTAACGGTGGTGATAGCATTATGCAATAAATCAACAGGGCGGTCGTTACGTATGAATCCGCATACGACATGATAATTTCTTTACCTACACACCCATATCTGAAATGGTGTCGTCTAAGCTCCGTGCGGAGGCAAGATGGCGGACAACGGCCGTGGCTGCTTGAGTTATTTTTTTCGTGAGAAAAATCTCCATTTCCATAAACGAAATGTAACCTCTGACCCACCTAAAATCTCTTTAACTCTAAACTTTACAGTTTATACCTTTTTTTGTCAATATAGAATGCGTTTTGGAAGCGTTGACGGTGTTCATGCTTCTGGAATGTGTTGACGCTGTGTTGACGCTGTGTTGACGCTTATTAGTACGACCCACAGAGTCGGCCAATTCTCCGCGCTGCCATGATGTACTACTAGACTTGTTGCCAGTCTGTGTACGGTACTAAAAAAAAAATAAGAAGAAAACCGTGAAATCTCGCCGGTGCAACTGAGTATTAATTATGTTTTTATAGTTAAAGACGTTTCCCCGTTTATTCATTGGGTTTCATTCTTTATTTTGTATTATGTTTATTTTGTATTGACTGTCTAACTGATCCATTGAGTAAGCCCCCTATATATCTCCTTCAGTCTTTCCAGATTCGTGCGGATCTTTTCCCTTCCTTGTTCGATTTGTACAGTTCAAGATTTTTATTTCCATTCATTCATTGGTTTCACTCTTTTCGTTGCCTTGCATTTTTCACACTGACTGTCTAAGAATTCCACAGAATATTTGTTTTATTATTTTCTTAAATTTTTCGAGATCCGATATGTGAATTCATCCCATAGCATGCATTGTAAATATTTATATGGTTAGTTTGAGATTTTTATTTCAATTTATTAATTGGGTTCCTTCATTTATTGCTCTTATGAACATTTCTGATTATATGTGGAATGTCATATAATTAAACTATCTTGCATAATACACTTTGTTTAATTTCCCTGCTTATAACTTCGGGCTGGCGGATATTCGTATGTTTTACAGATTTGATAATTTGCGCGGGAATCATACGACGTCTCGGGTGAAAATTTTCTAATTAAAATATTTGCAAATGTTTTAATTAGAAAGCGTTTTTATTTTAAAAAATGAGTCAGCCACAGTGTCAAATTGAAAGCTTTGATTTTACGGAGGTCAAGTGTCTGGAGAAAAAAAAAATTTCAACATTTTGGTGCGGTTGCCCCCCTGACATCAAAAGCTGGATACGCTACTGGGCCGGCCCGGGGGAATGGGGGCCCAGCGAGATTTGGCCAGGATTGTAGGCCTATACCCTACATTGAAATAAAAAGTGTGGCACCATCAGAATGAACAGTTTACATTAAAATACATAGGCCTCTAGGAACCCGCTTTAATATCGCTTCCCGAAGGTCACAGGTCATTTAGCATTATTAACAAAAACAAGAACAGTCAACTATTTCTAATAAGGTCTAATGAACATGGGCGTCGCTTGCCTCCTCTGGAAAAGCAGAAAAAAAATATTAGTTTAAATGGTTTGGTGGATGCCCCTGCCCCCCTCGAAAAAAAAAAATGAATCGAGAATACGCTGGAAAAACACAGGGGTTTTGGCGAAACTGTAGTTTGCCCCCTCCTGACGACGCCCATACTAACGAACTTTTATACAACACTAACAAACTTTTATACAACACCAAATAACCCGCCAATCTTACTGATTATTTCAGATGTGTCAAGTGCAAGGAATTCCAGCAAGACAATATCCTACGTGAAATTTACCTGTTAATTATTTCGGCAAGCAGTTGGACAATGTGAAGAAAAACAACGGGGTAATTACAACGGGTAATCCAAAATTAACACTAAACTTTTTATTTCTTCTACGAAATAATCCACTAGTTCCTTTGTAAGTTGACTACAACGCTAGACCATGAGTGAACTTGAACATGTCATTTTTAAAAGAACGAATTCTGCGGCAATTTCCTTGCAACAAATTGTCCCGTTACTTTGTGCCCTATTACTGCCAATGCAATGTCAAGACCACGCAGAGTATTACGTTTGAACGTGGGCCAGATGGTGGGAAACCCTAAGGACAACACTAATACATTTCTTATGGTTTTTGTCTCATTTTCTACGAAACTGTACTGCCACTTTATTAAGAAATGATAACAGAACTGTTCTTAACGTCCTTAACACACTTCTGTCAATGTTTGTATACAACGTTCACATTGTGAAAATATAGGCATGATGAATTTTACGAAAAAAACACTGGAAATTCCTAATTCTGTTGCAACGAAACTACCAATATCCCCATTTGCGTCATTAAATAACACACTACAGCCAATGTTTTTTTATACACTGTCAAGACCTGAGTGAAATATTTGAAAATATGGGCCGTGATGAGAAACTCTAAGAAAAACAGTAAAAATTCCTAATTTCGTTGCAATGAAACTACCAATATCCCCATTTGCGTCCTTAAATAACTCACTACTGCCAATGTTTTTTTCATACACTGTCAAGACCCTGAGTAAAATATTTGAAAATATGGGCCGTGATGAGAAATTCTAAGAAAAATACTAGAAATTCCTAATTTTGTTGCAACGAAACTATAATATCCCCATTTGCGTCATTACTACTGCCAATGTTTTTTCATACACCTGTACACTGTCGAGACCCTGAGTGAAACATTTGAAAATGTGGGCCGTGATGAGAATAGAAAAAACAGAAATTCCCAATTTCGTTGCAGCGAAACTAGGCTTGAAAATATTATAAATAATATCCAGCTTAACAAAGCATTGAATTTTGCATAATACAATTTATAAGGAGCTGATACTGATTAATCAATGTTACTTTTACGGCCATACAAATCATACACAACCTACGGCGTGCGTTTACCGCACTGACCAAGCGAAACCCAGACTTGGGCAAGTCTAACTAGGCTGCAGCTAGCTGGCTGCGCTGATCTGAGCATTGCCAAATTTGTAAATGCGTTAACGAAACTAGAAATTGCACGACAGAGGGTGTTATTACATAGTTTCGGCGGATTGCTAATATGGGTGTAACAGGCCTACATGCCATCACTTAATGTTCCCTTCAGTGACCTATCAGTATCAGCATCAGAAAGTGATATTATGCCCTGAAAAGTCAAATTTAGCATTTACTGAGAAAAAGGCTAGAAATTTTCAGACCAGTCTCATACTCGGGGTTTACTACCGGTACTTACTACTTACGGCTTAATGGGTAACTTATTTAGGCATATAGCCATTGTGACCCCATATCCTATATTTGTTCTTTTCAAATGTGAGTCGAGCTCTTTCTTAAATGCTGACACAGTTCTAGCATTCACTACTTCCTGTGGGAGAGCATTCCATATATTGATGATTGGACGGGAGAAGAAGTGTTTCCTGTATCCAATATTCTTGTTTAATGCTGGTTTGAAGATCTTCAGAGTGTGACCCCGTGTACTGGTGCTTGATGGGTTTGTGCACAGGGTGACAAGTGATGGCCAGATATGGGATTGGGAATCTTTCCCTAAACTCTACAAAGCTTAGAACTGCTACTACTAGAGTTAGTACCGGTGCTGGGCATGAAACATGCTCACGTGTACAAATGTACAAGTAGATGTTTTAAACTATCCATATAAATGTGGCTTTGGTTTTCAGTCTACCTCTGACTTCATGGATTTGGCCCAGTGTGCCATTCATTCCTGGGTGTCATCCTTCTCAGACTCCAGTGGCAATACAATGTAAAGCTACCCCACCTGAATACTAAATACGGTACCAAATAATTATCCATAATTTCTGTGCATAGACACAATCATGGGTACACATTTGAAAAGCATAATACAGGCATTTCTAAAATGCCTTGAATTATACTTCTGGTGTCTAAATTAAAAGTTGTAAAATACAACAATGATAACAGTAAGAAGGTAGGCATAATGGTATAGCATAAAATATGCAAAGCTGATACAGGGCTTGGAGAGAATGCCAAGTGGTACATGTCGCCCCCTGAGGTGTCCCCTGCCAAAATTATGAAATTTGCCCCTTGCCCAGGATTTTTTTTTTAAATTTAAACCAGAAGAGGAATATAAATGACAATTTAAAAAAAAATTCAATTCTCATTCCCTTAATCCTACGGATTTAATTTATTAAAAAAAGAGCGTCCTTTACCTCCACCAGTCAAACAGATCAAAAGAGGTACCCCCCCCCATGAAAACAATCCTAATCATAACAACTCTGACATGATGATGTGGCCAAAACATGCAGTGCTATTACATTTTTGAGCTTTTTAAATCGAGGTACCCAAATGAAAATTAATGTAGATTTACTAATATACCTTGGAAACTAAACATTTTTGAGTTTGAGTTTTTACCATGAAAAGTAGTTTTTTGTGTGTTATTATTTGCTATTTTTCTACTAATACTGTTGAATGAAGAGAAAGTTTAGTTGTGAGCAAAAGCGGTAATTTTTTTATGAACTTCAAATTATTTGCAGCTAACAAAAATTTTGTTGACCCTGCTTCTAAAAGACTGTTTCCTACCCCTGAGAAAACCCACAATGTCAATCAGTACACTGTATATACCTGCTGTGTGAGAGGGCCGTAGACGACTACAATATTTGAATGAACTGGTGATAATTCGGTTTTGAAAGAGTCCCATCTCTATCAGAATGAATTGTAAGTTTGCAAAGTATCTATGTATTGGACAATTTTTAAGGAACATAAACTTACGGGAAAGGATTACCAGACATACAATGTCCTTTCTAGGCTATCGGATCCTAGTCCCCCCCCCCCCCCAAAAAAAAAATAATAATAAAAATAATAAAAATAAAATTAAAAAACAAGACAAGTAAAACAAAGTTGTAAGGATAAATAAAAAGACATAAAAATAAGACATAATTTAATAATATACAGAGAGAGATAAAACATAACAAAATGCAAAGAAACTTATTATTTGTTGACAATACGATATCATGTATCATGCATGTACATAGTATACCAATTCAATACAATCATGACAATTGCGTGAAAATGTTGCTGTGTAGGATATACCTACAGATCAGCATTACAATTATTTGTTTTCAAACTCTTCATTTTACAAGGGGAAAATTCTTAAATTCATGAGAACATTTCCGTGCGGAACATTTTCAGTTGTTGCTTTCACATGTTGTGACAAGCATTGATTACATTTAGATGGTGAGTGATAGATGACATTGACTAATTTGCCCCAAGCACTGGGAACACAAAAGCTGTGCAAAGCTTTGTCCAAACAGTTTGTAATGAATTCATTTATTAAAAAAAAAATTATTGTCAGAGTATCATCTAAAAATTCTCCACTTGAAAGCATGTATACTGGTAGCTCTTTTTATTATTTATTATTTTTTTTGGGGGGGGTGGTTATTTTTGTTCCACAGTGATTCTTGCTACTTTACATGTATGCATCTCATGGATCATGAGACTTCTATTCCTATGTGCCATTCATGCCTCGTCAGACTGATGTGTCTGGTATTTTTATGCCCCGCGGCGAAGCCGAAGGGGCATACTGTTTCCGCCTTGTCCTTCCGTGGGTGGGTGTGTGTGTGTGTGTGTGTGTGTGGGTGGGGGTGGGTGAGCTTGTCTTACATACGCAGTGTGGACTTCCGAACAAAAGACGTCCACATAATGTAGGTAGCAGCGACGAAGTGTGGACTTGCCCACGTCCACACAGTGTTTCCCCATTTCTGGAAAACAGGTTTAGAGGCATTTTTGGGTTAGGTTTATCTGTAGCAGAATGAAGAGAAACACTAAAGGGAATCATTGAAAAAAAATTGGGTTGTAAGAGTTTTCACAGTTTGAGAAAAATGAGTTTTTCCACTGGTGTTCCTTAACTACACGAAAAGAAAGGAAAGTCCACACTAGGTATGTGAAACAAGTCGGGGGGGGGGGGTGGGTGTGTGTGTGGGTGTGTGTGTGTGTCCGGACAAATCTTGTCAGCGCGATAACTTGAGAAATACTTAACATATGAACTTCAAATTTGGTTTGTGTATTGTTCTTGGTAATCCTAAGAACCCTTTTGCATTTGGGGCCGAAAGGTCAAGGGTCAAGGTCACAGTGACTAAAACAAAAGAAATTTTGTCAGCGCGATAACTTGAGAAATACTTTACATATGAACTTCAAATTTGGTTTGTGTATTGTTCTTGGTAATCCTAAGAACCCTTTTGCATTTGGGGCCGAAAGGTCAAGGGTCAAGGTCACAGTGACTAAAACAAAAGAAATTTTGTCAGCGCGATGACTTGAGAAATACTTTACATATGAACTTCAAATTTGGTTTGTGGATCATTCTTGGTAATCCAAATAGGCCTATCGCATTTGGGGCCGAAAGGTCAAGGGTCAAGGTCACAGTATCTAAAACAATAGAAATCTTGTATTTATTCTGAGATTATAGGGATTAGGGATTAATTCATATAAAACTTACAGAAGACACTAATGCTGTCAATGAATGTTCCATGTGACCAAGGTACATGTACATGTACATGTACGTAAGTTGATGTTAAAAGAGTGGTGTTATGTCATGGGAACAGTCACGGTTGCGGGGCATTTGTGTTTGTAAACACACCTGACTTGTTTTTTAATTAAATGGGTTTGGAAGTTAGCAAGTGCGTTCTTCAAAGTTCAGTCACTGTTTTATTCACATCAACATAAACTGATTTTCCCCTAAAAACGACAAAAAGGAATGCCTAGAGTGCACACATTTAAAGCAGTCCAACATGACTAGCATGTAAGACGGGCTCTGTCTTATTTCTGTCACAATCTGAACAGCGAGCAGGGCGTCTGCAGACCTCTTAGTATAGCATTCACTGCACATAAGCAACAAACGACTTGTGTACAGTGTATCAAAAACAGTAAAACACTGCTTTTCACAACATAAGATTATATGAATCCAATAAATTGCTGATAACAGTGATATGTGTATGCATGTTACTCAAACTGATGTTAGAACCCTAAATTGTCTGCAGATAAATTGCCCTAAAGCGATCATCGGCAGTCATACAAATATGTAACAAAATGTTCCTAAAGTTATAAGCACGATTCTCATTTTTATTATATTGATTTCACCAATAACTTGCAGTAAGGCCAAGACTAGACGCCATGCTACTTCTGTGCTGAACTTAATTGAAATGAGTGCAGCAATAGCTTTTCTACAGCACTGCAGTTACTTTGAACGCCAAACGTAATATTCTGGAGTAATGGGCTAGGTTAAAGCAGTTCAAAGAACATTCAGTTGGATCAAAATACTCGTGCCAATTTCACTCCCCATGATGCGGACGCAAAAGTGGATGTTGTGAGCCAACGTATTCCTAAAATGTTTGCCCCAACTTCGAATCGAATCAAGTTCGGCATGGCATTTAGAACAGTGCCGTGCCACTGCCATTCGGAACGATACCAGTAGGATGATACCAGTAGGCAGCAGCCCTGTCACTGTAAAGGATGGTGCCGTGCGGAACTCAATTTCCAAGGAAAATGGTTCTAGACTACGTGCTGTCGCCAAGCCAAATTTAAAAAGTTGAATTAATTAGTTCGGCACACGGCAGTAGCAGGGCGTCTAGACGTTAATTGCGTCCTGTGCTGCAGTGTGTTTGTTAGAAGAGGGCTCTATGAACACATGTTTAGTTTGGTAACAGTTTTGTTCACATCAGAAGTTGTCAATCATTAGTGAACACACAATGCATGTTATCATTAGGGATTAGGAGCCTTATCAGGCCAAATGCCAGCACAGTTTATTCATCAACACCCAGTGGTTGCAGTGACCTGTCTGTACAGTCAGATGTCATGCCTGTGTGAATGAGTAGGCCATGTGCTGCAAAGATATGCAATGTGAATACTACTAGCTGACTTCAACAACTTGGCTACATGTGTCAGGCTGGAAATAGTACATGTAGCAACATAAAGTGTCACAATTAAATTGAAAGACTGATTCTAGATTTGATTTATTGTTCAACATTCATAGTTAATTGAAACTGCAATAAATCACTACTTTCGTACGTGTATTATGAGGTGTAGGAACACAACTAATATAGGAATCTTTGTACTTAATAATTTGGTTACAATGCACCTCATAAATGAGCTATTTTCATAGTGTGGAATGTTTTATCTTTTTTTCTTTTCTTTTTTTAGAGCGGGTTGCCTCAAAACAGCTACTCCAGATTCCTTGGCACCATGCAACACTCTTCTGCTGGGGTTGAGGTTTCAACCCCAGATGTATCACATATGGTGACACAAGATGCAGCAAAAGAAGAGAGTAAACCATCAGCACAAGGAGTGAGCCAAGTAGTGACAAGTGCCTCAGCAGCTGCGGTGACGGAGGATATTCAGGCTCAACTTGAAAAGGACAAGAGACTCATCTATGGGTGAGTACATACATGTACACTCTACCTGTGCATGCACTGTACATATTTGTGTCCAAGGTGCAAATAATCTATAGTAGACAAACTGTACATGTATTACTGGGGCCAAGGAACGACAGGTTGCATTCAATTCACCGTTTCAGAAATCCAGTCATGGTCTGTGGCTCATGATGGAATTGGCTTATTGGTGTAATTAATATCAGTTAAGTTTATATTGACAGTCTGTATTTTGTATGGAATCAAGAGAAGAGAATTCATATTTAGTATGGCAAAAATGTAACAAATATTTCATGTATTGTTTGATTGTTTTAAGCCAGAGGTTTGTCTTATCATGCAAAGTGAGCAGACCTTGGATTCTGCCAGGTACTGGAAGCATGAGCAGCAGTAAACATGTTGTGTACATTAGCTATCGTTCTTCATGTACAGGAATGGCTGTGCTGCAGACTGCAGGGCACATGTGTGCTTTCATGTGCCATGCACTGGGTAGTTTTCAAATGCTGCAGGTTAATGATGTGCAAACCCGACCCGAAACCAACCCGACCCGAAACCGACTTCTGGCCGGGTCGGTTTGTCCAATTTTCAGTCGGGTCGGGTCGATTTTGGTTTTGTATTTACATTTTCGGTTCGGGTCGGGTCGGGTCGGTTTAGCCATCTTTTGAAAAAACGAAATAAACCGAAATAAACTGAAACAGTTGAGAAATTCAGGTGATGCAATATTATTGACAGTCACTGTGACCGCAGCCCATTGTGGTGTGGCCAACGTGCATACTATCAAGTTCCCACGGTATTAATTTTCTCCAGTCAGATTGGGACTGACAGTGAAATAGATTGTAACAGTTTTCATGATACCGCGTGGTGATACCATGCGTTTGTTCAATAAGTGGAGTTACTCTCGATCAACCCACTGAGTATGACAGAAAGAGAGACGATGGTTTTGCAAAAGAATTCATGCCATGTGGGTAAGGGCAGGCACAAAGTGATCACAGTCTTAAGCCAGATTTTATCTTAGTTTTTTGTCGGGTTGGGTCGGGTCGGTTTAAGGGAGTTAAGATCAGTTTCGGTTCGGATGCGGTTTATTACTCTAATGTTTCGGGTCGGTTTGGCCTGGTCAACCCGAACAGATGCACATCATTACTGCAGGTACTTGATGCCACTTGTATCTTGCATAATTGTTCATGATTCAATTCAACATGAGTTCATTATGGTTTGTTTAACAGTTTGGCATTCAATGCATTTCTAAAACAGTGGCAGTGAAACAGTCAAGATTAGAAGAAATGGTCTATCCTGAGATTTAGAGATTCAGTTGACAACATTTGCAGGAAAAAGAGTCCAAACTAGCTAGAAAACATGCAAAGCTGTGGATAAAACAGGATAACACAAAATTACTGTTGATTGTTATTTCTGATGAAAATGTGGATGTATGAAGAAATCACCAATTTAACAATGGGACAAACATGTATCACTGATATCATAATTAGTATTTTGTATTTTATTGCTTTTCAAACTTACTGTTTTGAAAAATACTGGCAGGTGGTCATGGACTTGACTGCAATACATGTAATTCTTGATGTTGTGTTTCTAGGCACCCTCTTTTTCCTCTGATGGCTCAATTATTTGAGAAGTGTGAGCAAGCCACCCAGAGCACTGATCCCCCAACCTCAGCAAGCTTTGATGTGGACATTGAAGAGTTTGTACATCAGCAAGATAGAACGGGCAAACCATTCTTCAGTAATGATCCTGAAATAGACAACCTGGTAAGAAGATGATGAATGGAACACAATAATTTGCACGGGAAGTATCCAAATAACAGAAACCATTACAAATTTACAAGCACACTGTACATGCCACGGCTCATTTTCCATATGGATTGTACGTCATACTAACAGGATTCATGCATTTGGAGGGACAAAATGGAAATGTTTGCATTTTGTGTATGATCTGTTTGATCTGTTGCCGGTGCACATTCTCAAGTAGGATTCTAAATGTATTTGAATCATGCAATACTCTTACACAATTTCACTATTTATTTGTTTTTGAAAGATGGTGAAGGCAATTCAGGTATTACGCATACACCTGCTTGAACTAGAGAAGGTCAATGAACTGTGTAAAGACTTCTGCCATCGTTATATAACGTGTCTCAAGGGGAAGATGCATAGCGACATTTTACTTCGAGATGACCGACAACCTGGAACAACATTCTCTACAAGTCAATTATCACAGGAAGGTCAAGGGTCATCACAGGGGCCAGAAATGACCCCGCCTCATCCAGTCACTCAACAGGTACACATTCAGGTGAGGTAGTTAGGTTAATGCTGACTGTATGCTTGATGCCCATGCTGCATGATAGCGACTCAGCTTGCCTATGTACATGTTGGTGAGTTCATTGTTGCTTTAGTTTTGTTGCTTCCAATTCGTTTGGTCTAACTTGTTGTTTGTAATGCCATCTCTAAATTAGTGCTTGTGTAGTGTGTATTATTTTACATGCATGCATGTACATGTTTGAAACATGTACACGTGTATAATGTACATGTGTGCATAGTATGTTTTAATGAGCTAATTATACATGGACGTTCGTAATTTGACAGCAAACTTACTGCTTTGTTCCTTTTATTGTGTGAGACAGTGTGAGATGGATAAAAGGCCACACAAAATTGACATTGGCATATATGCACAGTTGGTTGTCATCTTCTTACAGTTTGCCTGTCCCCAACATATGGGAGGTCTTCCTACAATGTTAGAGTACAAACAAAAGAGGGACATTTGGGGGTCTCCGATTGCTGGCAAATACTTACTTGTGCGTGTTTATGGTGTAAATCGAGGACACACATGTGCAACATCATCGATGAATTGAGGACAAGAACCATGATTAGAAAACGTGTACAAAACCAATGAGAGCTGTTGCAAAAAAGTTTGAGTACAAACGAAGGAAAAGGGAAAAGGAACAAAAGAAAATCCTTGATTTACACCATAAACAAACGTGCTAGGGAGTGTGTGCGTGTTCACAAGTGGTTGATGAGTTGATCGGGTGCTTCAGTGAGATTGCCTAAAAATCAGGCCACTCGCCCTTGTATACACTAATTTTGGAAGTGAATTTAATGAATTACATTTACTTGGATGTTCAGTTCTACGATGTGTGTGTTTACATGCTGCTGGTATTTGTTGTGTAGGTTCAGGCATCTCCTCAGCATGTACATCCAGCTACAGCTGCATCAGTAGCAGGTGGCACATACATCATCCAACAACCAAATACACAGTCAGTTCAATCTGGCTCAACACAGGTTAGTACCACTAAATACAATATTCAAGGTTTTACAATAGAAACCTAAAAAATATGTGTGAATTCTACAAAATGCGAACGTGTGATGAAATTTGTGTCTAATTTACAAAAAGAAATTCCACAAGTGAACATTGCAACGAAACTGTTAGTATATGCACCCAAGCAATGAGTACCCTTATATCAGTGTGACAATGAGTAGAATGTAGGTAGAGCCCTAACAGTCCTGAATCCTCCAATTTCAATACGATTTTGCATACCCCCTAGGGAGTTAGGGAAAATAAAACAATCATTAGAGACTACTCTTTATAATGGACCGATCCAGTAATCACTGCCCCATGGTATTCTGACCAATCACAGCCGTGATTTATGTCCGACATTGCGTGCACAAAAGTCCGACATGCGTGCACGCGCATATGATGCGCGCGGCAGGAAAATGCAGTGTGGCATTGGAGAGGAGCACGTGTTAATTTGCCCACGTGCCCAGTGGGAGGGGCTTACTGGATCGGTCCATTGGTGGCTTTTTCGTAGAGTTAAGGTTTAGATAATCGGAAAGGGAATAATTATTTTTACATATAATATTCTTGCCAGTTATTGCTCATCTCAACAGGATTCCCCCATGATCAGAACCAGTCCAAAATAGCTTTTTACTCAACGGTATTTGCATGCCATGTGAAGATTTACATGCATTTCAGACCAAACATGTACAGTGTTGGATATTTTAGTCAGTGAATACTACTTTTTGGGGATTTAAAAAGTAGCTGACAGTTCAATGCCAATAAAAATAATTCCAGCATCACCGCACTGAGGTGTGTTGTGTTGATTGCCATCTATCCCACTTATGAAGCACAATAGATTGCTGCGTGACAAGCCACATGGATTCAAATCTATTCAGTTTGTTTCTAAAAACGAAAGCGCTTACAAGGCAAGTTGGAGTTGGGCAGTCTTCAGAATTGTCAGAAGGTGATGGCTGGAGTCAACTCATGGGGAATTAGAATCCTCTACGATGTTCAGAGAGTTGATATGCAGCTCAAAATTGTGGAATTGTATGAAGCCCGGGAAGGGACAGGGTGAATTTTTTTTTGGAATTTGCTAATTCGTTCCCACGAATTACTAATTCTTCCGCACGAATTGCTAATTCGTGCACACAAATTGCTAACTCGTTTGCACAAATTGCTTTTTCGTTTGCATGAATTGCTATTTCGTTCCCACGAATTGCTAATTCGTTCCCACGAATTGCTAATTCGTTCCCACGAATTACCAACTCGTTTCCACGAATTAGTAACACGTTCCCGGATGCACGAGTTCGCAATTCGTTCCCACGAATTAGGAAATCGTGCGGACGAAATAGCGATTCATGGGAACGAATTAACAATTCGTGCGAACGAAATAGCAATTCGTGCGAACGAATTAGCAATTCGTGCGAACGAAAGAGCAATTCGTGCGAACGAAATAGCATTTCGTGCGAACGAAATGGCAATTCGTGCGAACGAGTTAGCAATTCGTGCGAATGAATTAGTAATTCGTGGGAACGAGTTAGCAAAAAAAAATTCCACCCTGTCCCTTCCCGGGCTTCATAGAATTGTGCTTTTGAGTCTGAGTAAAGAAACAATTGCATTTTGGTCCATGGCAGAGTCATCAAGCCTACATTACGATTGCTTCCATGTCTACTAGGTTAAAAAGGTCAATTTTTTTATTGCAGCTTCAACAGGCACAGTTTCAAACAGTGCTGAACCAAGCAGGCCAAGTAGTCTATGCTCCAGTCATTCCACAGGGAGTAATGGCACAACAAGGACTAGTCACCCAGGCTATTCCAGGAACTGTGCAGTTACAGAGTACCCCCCAGCAGGGAGTAGGTGCTCAGTCAGTTGTGCCTGTCATCCATGGGTCTACTCCAATATCACATATAGGCATTCCATCATCAGAACAGCAGAATATTACATCATTATCATACGCTGCCACAACGCCCACGATAACCAGTGCAGGTGATGACTATGATGATATGAATGAACTTTTAAATAAGAGAAAACCAAAGAGAGGTGTTCTTCCCAAGCATGCCACCAACATCATGAGGTCATGGCTCTTCCAACATATCGTGGTAAGCAGAGATTCTCTACCATTTCTGGCATAACTGCAGATCCTGGGATTTCAAACTTTTGAAATTTAAAATGAAACCTTGGAAGCTGCATGTACATGTGGATGCTAGCAATGTGCAAATGTCTTTATTTTCCATTATTTAGAAAGAACATGTGCATTTAAATATTGAGTGGCTCAGAGTGGAATGGGAGGAATATTATCGCAAGGTAAAATCTGGACTTTTCCATTTCACGAGGCAAAGCTGATTGAACTGGAAAATTCTAGATTTTACCGAGTGATAATATTCCTCCCATTTCACAATTTAAAGCCACTCAATATTTGTTTTATATAACTGACATATAGATCCTTGTCATTTGATATATTTGCACTTCTATTTCAATACAGAACTGGTGGAAAATGTATTTCTCTCTTCCAACCACGAACATGTTTGAACCCAACTTTGTAGCACTGGTTCTTTGGAATAATACATGCTACACGCAACGCTGAACGCTTACACCAGTATGCATTTGCACACAAATACCGCATCATGAAACAAGAACGATCCTAACTGTTGAATAGTATTTCCCATTCCCCATGGGCGAATGGGACTTTTTGAGCCCCGGCGTGAATGGGAGCAATAACGAATGTCACGTGATGTGAGTTCCACCAATCAAATGACGAGGATCTGTATGTCAGTTATATAAATTATTTTGTCATGTACTGTTCAGTATACACTGCGTCCCAGAAAAAGTGGGCCTTGACAAATCAGCTGCCATATCTAAACAAATATTCATTTTAGACTAAATTTCTTTGGTGTTTTTTTCATGCTGTTGATGTTGTTTATTGCCTGTGGAAAAATAAACTGAATTGATTGAACAATTTTAAAGCCATGACTTGAGCTTCATAAAATCAAAATTTATACTTTTTACGGTATTAGCTTGTATTAGCGTGAACATGTATCACACACGTTTCACATGCAAACACGATGAGACTACAGTATGTCTTTATTTCTTAACACATTTATTTTTTACGTTCATAAATAAAATCTGATTCTGATAAAGTTAAAATTTGCCCCTTGAATACATGTAGTCTCTTCTTGTTTGCATGTGAAATGTGTTCGTGTGATACATGTTTGTGGTCTCCTCTCTCCACTAATTTACCAGCACAAGCTCATGCCGCAAAAAGTGTACATTTTGATTTTATGGAGCTCTTACATTTCTAGTCATGGCTTTAAAAGTTTTCAATCGATTTTGTTTATTTTTCCAAAGGCAATAAACAACATCAACAGCATAAAAAAGCATCCAACAAATTTAGTCTCACATGAATATTTGTTTAGATATAGCTGCTGCTTCGTCCGGGCCCGCTTTTACTGGGACACACTATATGTACATGTACGTGATGATGTGCTCTAAGTTCAGAGCTCATAGCTCCTAACATGCCTGGTTAGCCACACGTGTTTGGATTCCATCCTGACCTCTGACTGTGCTCAGTGATCTGTGGCATATCACACAGTGACAAAGTGCATGTCAACATTTAATATTTGTGTACCCTTACATGCCCCTATTGGTGTGGGCAACTGGTCAGGGAATGAACATAACTAAAATGATTAATTTTCTCTATTATTTTCAAAACAAACTCCCCCCCCCCCAAAAAAAAGGGCAGAGTATCTTTTATAGTGCATCAAGTAATTGTCCGAGATGCAGAGTGTCTTGAATATTGAGTGTTGTCTGGGTAGCTATCTGATGAGCAGAATGTAACCATGATAAGGCTGTCATAGCTTCTCTTTGCATGGTTACCATGGAAACTTGTAATGCTGGTTATCTGACCGTTTCCCCTTTGTTGCTAGCATCCGTATCCAACAGAAGACGAGAAACGAATGATTGCAGCACAGACAAATTTAACCTTACTACAAGTCAATAACTGGTAAGACATTTTCTCAGTCGTTGTTATCCCACAGAAATAAGCCATTAGGGCTGGTATGAAGATCCCATATTCAACACACAACAACATCTTGACGTAAGACTAGTACTCACTGATTGACTCAATGCAGTCACTTCCAGAAGTCAGATAGAGAAGACATTAGATGTGTTTTTTGTGTGTGTGTGTGTTTGATGTTGTATAGATATTGTATAGTGCAAGTGAATACTACTTTAAATTAACAAAATGTTCATTTTAAAATATTTTTGATCTCAAAATAACCTTTGATGTAGATAATTGCTTGTAAAAACATGATATGTACATGTCAATTGCGCTATTTTTTTTTTCAGTCAACAAGGCTTTGTCATGAAAAAAAGCCAGGTGTTAGATGGAGATAACAGTTAACACTATTTCTGAATAGTATTGAAAGATTGTCACAAAGATAATATCATAGTTTAGGCCCAAAAAAAAAAGTCTCTGGTTTCTGGTATGGAGCTTGCCCAAAAAGTGGTGCGGCGACGCGGCTTTTTTTTTTTACCTGATTTTTTTGCTTCAAATGTCGGCTGAAGACTGCAAATGGTGCCCGACTAAACTAAGTGCAAATATATGGGAGTCCAGAGAGGCCACATAAAGCTTATTCTCGACCATAACCCAATCTAAAAACACGTTAAAATTGTGCAGCAGCAGGATGACAGTCAAACCAGTGAGTTTGGCGGTTTTGAGACATCATCTTTCATTGAAAAAAAAACTGTTTCATTTTGCCGATGCGCATGGCTACAGCGACGCGCGCGCATACCAGAAACCGGACACTTTTTTTTTGGCCTTAGTCTGAATTAAGCTGAAAGTTGCGACTAGAACTGAGATGGCATTTACATGTACACTTGAATTCTGTTGACTCATGAAGGCTTATCGTTAAATCAACAGCCTGTGCTAGGTCTTGAGGTATATGTGTTAGATTATTTCTTTTCAAATGAATAGTGGTTCTCTTTTTTGGATACATGGTTTTGACTATTCAGCTGAGAGCTTTGATGTCTTTTCACAAAAGACTTTTACACCACTGCACTGCATATTACAATACTTACATCTGCATCTTTACATTGACAGCCTCAGGCCAATTTGACACAACAAAATGAAATACGTGCAGTGAAAGCAAATTTTATATATTTGGTACAACTCCAGCTTAGGCCTTAATGCACAAAGTTTGTGACGTTTCTTGCAAGAATTGTTGTGGTAGACATGCAATGTAGCTTCATTCTCTAAAAACACTGTTGACATTTTACAAAAAGGTACTTTGATGTTATTGATACATCATGCTTTTGTTGTTACGGACGTTGCATTTTGAAGTAACGGATGTTACATATCTGAAATCAACTTCACACACGTGATAAATAAATACATTTAACCACTTTCTTCTCACTGGCACACCACTCAAATAAAAATTTTCTTGTCCCCTTTCATTTGATACCACATTTGAGGTTGTGATGCTTGTACATGTAGTTCTCAAGATTTCATAAATTTCCCACTTTTCAGCCGTTCACTTTCTCATGGAAGGAATGTTTGTTTTGGGGTGTTGTCAATTCAATATGGGGTTTTGCCCTTCATCAACGTAGTTTTATAAGCATTGTATACTCAAGTGCTGTCCCAAATGATTGTGAGAAAAGACTACTGGGGTAGGACGTGAACCCATTGCCATACCCACCAGTGCAGACCACCCAGGTAGGCTCAGTGGTTGAGTGGTGGGATGACCGGGAGGTTGAGGGTTCGAGGCCTGCTCAAGTAGTTGTTTTCTCACAATCACTCGGGACAACACTGAGTATACATTGTTTATAAAAATACATCGGTGAGGGACAAATCCCAATATTGAACAAAACAATTGTCGACTGTTGTGTTGTGGAATGTGGGGTGATTTTGTATTAAAAAGTCAAGAATTGATACGTTTTGAAAGTCCCTGGGATATCTCCTGATGCGTGAATTTCATACCTAAGATATTCCATCTACAGAGACCAAATGAGTTTTTTTATGGCTGTTTATGTGATATGTTGGGTCAAATTAAAGGGATTTGTTGATTTTGTTAAAATGACTTAGAATTTAGTCCCACACGACACCAGACTTTTCCCATATGACACAAGTACTTTTCTGCTGTACTATGATAACACAAGATGATTGGACTTGTTCACAGTCAGTGATAATATCAACTAGCCATTTTGACCTAAACTGGAATGTCTGATTAGAGCACTATTTCGTACAAATTATGATATTATGTCCTGCACGACACCTCTTGCCTGTCCCGTACAACACGCTGGCCTGAATTTTGTAAACTTTTCCTATTCAATAAAAACAAATTTAACCGAGAGATCCTAAAATATCTGACCTTTGTTTAAACATTGTACAATATTTCTATGTTAGTAAGAATTACTCACTGATCAACTCACAGAGACTTTTTTACCCAAATTTGTTGTTGAAAAAGATACATGTAGTGAATTTTCTGCATCCTGTACGACACATTACCGGTTTATTTTTAGCAATATCCTTAAAATTCAATTCTCAGCCAAGTTAATTATTGGGCAGTAAAGCCTAGTGGTACCACTTGAGAAAGTGTGCCCAGGATTCTTCTTATTCTGATAGTGTCTGCGTCATAACAGGCTTAAAACAATCTCTGAATGTCCGGTATGACAAATATGGAATCGTCCTATATGTACCCGGTATTGCGTTTTTAAGCCAATATTCAACATTATCATATTCCACATCACAGCAGTCAAACATTGTAAAATGGTTCAGAATTACATTAAGTACAGTAGTGGAAAACAATCATGAGTAGCTTTTGAAGGCTGATGTGAAGTGCATAATGCACAAGTCTCTTTAGTAGCCGACATTAACTGGTCTGTACTTCCATGTGACAGGGGTGTAATGACACTTTCTCTTTGTCTGTGAGTGCAGTGGCATTCAATGTTCTTTCCCATCCAAAATTTTGCCAAAGGACGGGCAACAAAGTTGGACAGCTGCAAAATGCATTGTGCCCAAAATTTCATTGTGAAAAAGGCTGTGTATTTGTCTTTAACTTGATCACATCATTTTATTGCACATTCAGCCTACTAGCCTCAGCCTCTATGTATACAGTTTTGTATCGCAATGCCTCGTGGCTTTTCAGAATTGCAATTATCGATGTATTGGTGAATTGTTACACCCCTACCATGTGATATTCATAACATCTCATAGCAACCTCACTATAAAAACTAACAGATATTCAATTTGTTTTATCAATGCAGGTTTATTAATGCAAGGAGGAGAATATTGCAGCCTATGTTAGATGCTAGTAATCCAGACCCCAGTACCAAGACAAAGAAAGTCAAGACACAGAGTCGACCTTCCACACAACGTTTTTGGCCAGAGTCATTAGCCAACCTAGGTTCACCCAATACAACGAGACCTAGTAAGTACAACTTACAATCTGTGTAACCTGACGTCCAGATATGTGAGCCATCAATAATACCACCTTGCTGCTTCATCTTTAAACAGCTTATTCATATATCCACTTGTACCATGAGGTGTTGCAAGCAGAATAAGCTGATAATTAGTAGCAAGCCAGAAGGCCTTGAGAGGAGAAATGCCATGTGTCCTGGGTGTTGACACCCTTGATCCAGGTTTCCCTTGGTCTCCTGCTCGCTTTGTACCCAGACATCATGGCAGTGTATGCTCATTGGGCCAGTTGATGCTATAGCGGTGCAAGTGTGCTGTCCAAACCATTGGATCTACTGTTGCTGTGTGTAGTGGTGGACAGATGTTACTCCCACCATTTTTTGTATGTATCTTTTCATGTGTGATCCTCTTTTACTGATCATGTCTTGCGCTAGTATTAATCCGGTCAATTAACATCAGAAAAAGGTTTAATATAATAAAAGAACTTCGAATGATTAACTTGATCTTGTAGTACTTGTCAACAAGAGTTTAGTTGCGTACATGCATTACGGCCAGTTTCACGTCAGTAATCCACTAAGACCCCTCCCTCGCCTCACTAGTTTAAAGCTACATTCCATCATTTGCAGCTATCCAAAAAGTAACTGACGCAAAAAGTAACTGACGTAATTATTGTTAAAAAACATACTTGGTTGAAAGATAGTAAGTGGACTAAACTCCCTGTAAAACGATTCTTTCTGGCATGCTGTCGTTTTGAAGAAATCAACGAAAGAAGGCCTTTCCAACAATGCGTCTAAAGACACATCGTTGGGAAATTTCCGTTAGTATTTTTTATTTTTTTTATTCGGCGAAGCGCGTGCAAGCGTTGACACGGCGCACACGCGGTTTCTGTAATTCGTCAGTTCAGTGCACGACATGGCGTAGCTGCAAACGGCTCATTGAGAATGTGCCTCAGACGCTGAATTCAGGCCCAATTCAAAACATGATTCAGCAACTTTTGATTTGAAATCGAGATTCTAGAATGTTGTTTTTCTCAAAATATACAGCTGAAGCTGAGCTGAAACTTCATCAGGTTAGTTGTGAATGCGTATTTATCCTGTGCGTTTATTTTCTTCGCGCATGCTTGGTAAACAGCAAAAATAACATCTGGAACGTGATGGTGAAGATTTTAAACCACATATAAGGGAAGGTTCGATTGCCATGAAACTTGGTGGGTAGGTAGATAATGGTACTGGTATGCAAAATCCGAAGTGACGTCACGATGATGTCATCGGTTAATTTTTTATGATTTTTTTTTAATATTTACAATTTTATTCTGGTTCCAAAATTGTACACATCCTTTCATCGGATAGACTTCAACCTTGGCACAAACCAAGACCACAATGACAAACTGTGCATTGACAAGTGTTGTCAAGATGACGTCATTGCAGGGCATGTGGCGTCATGTGATAAAGTTATAGTTCAGGAATTATTCTAAGCATTTTGAGCAACCTTTAACATGAAGCACTCTTAAAAAGTGACTGCAAAAGGACCAACAAAACATTAACATTTGAAAAATGCGAAAAAGCTCTGTGTTCTGTTTTCAAACAGACACACAGACTTCTTTTTCTTTTTGTTCCACCCCATATCCCATAGACTTTGCACATGTTTTGTTCTGGCCCCCACTTAACACATAAGACAATGAAACTTAACATAGACAGAGACCTATGTACAAGAGTGACATCATGATGAGGTCGTCATGGGTCAACGTGACATCATCTTAAAGGTGCATATTTAAAAGTCCTATATCTAGAGAACTGTAAGTCGTATTGGATTGAAACTTGGTATGTAGGTAGACGGGGATGTATTAAAGGTAAAAATTGACGCCGTGATTTTATATAGATTTTTTCAATTTTTGAATTTTATCATCCTATCTCTCGAACCCAACATGCTAAATTCAAAACTCTTTTTGTATCAGGTTTGTTAGGCAGTAGATGTGTGCACACAATTTTAAAGGATGTGTGATGTCATGATGACGTCAATAAAAATTTGATTTTTCAAAACACATGTAATGGTTGTCTTGAAAACTGTTGGGTAGATAGATACTGTTACTAATATGCAAAATCCGAAGTGACATAATGATGTCATCAACTGATTTGTTATTTATTTTAGAACTTTGTACATGTTTTTCTACTAGCAAAATTTGACATAAAATGCCATCAGATTGACTTCAAAACAAAAACCCCAGGGTTAGAATGGACCTAGACAAGTGATGTCATGATGACGTCATCAGTGGTCTAATGAAGTCATCTTAAAGGTGTACATGTATATTTTAAGATTTTATATCTACAGAACTGTAAGTCCAACTGGGTTTGAAATGAGCAACATGTACATTGTATTTAGACAGGGATGTGTTACAGACAAAAATGTGGGTGACATTATGATGATGATGTTTTCATGTTTCATGACAAGTCATCTTTTAAATTAAATTCAGTAGCTAAAGAGTTAAAACTCTTTAGCTACTGAATTTAATTTCCCGATTTTTTCACGTTTGTACATAATAAATTGCTGGAAATTCCGCCGCGTGTCGATGTGGACGCCGCCATCTTTAAATGTCTCTCTGTAACCAACCTGCTCAGAATAACCTGCAGCAGACCCCTTCGGCACGACGGAGAGCCATTGGCAGCGGCTCAAACTAGGGTCAGAGGTTCTCCAGATTATGTAAATAAGGCACACGTTATGGGGATACTTCTGTTTATTTACAAAATGAGGATGCGTGAAAAAATACACAAAAAAAATACATGTTGGAAAAATATAACGACTAGTTGAGACAAAAATTATGACTTGTCTTGAAAAACTAATCTTGTGAATCTTTTTCACTAGTCTTAACTTTTTTGGGACGTCATGGGTTTTTCTTTTAAAAAATCAGTCATGAATTTTGTTGCATGAAAACAAAAATGTCTCATGACACAAAAATCAGGATGTCACAACACAATTCATGTCTAGTTCAAAATATTAACGTCAAAAAAAGTTCACATTAGGCCAAAAAAAAAAGTCTCCTGTTTCTGGTATGCGCGCGCATCGCCGTAGCCATACGCGTCGGCAAAATGAAAAAGTTTTTTTTTAATGAAAGATGATGTCTCAAAACTGCCAAACTCACTGGTTTGACTGGAATCCTGCTGCTGCACAATTTTAACGTGTTTTTAGATTGGGTTATGGTCGAGAATAAGCTTTATGTGGCCTCTCTGGACTCCCATATATTTGCACTAAGTTTAGACAGGTAAAAAATAAAAAAAAAGCCGCATCGCCGCACCACTTTCTGGGCAAGCTCCATACCAGAAACCGGAGACTTTTTTTTTTGCCCTTAGTAAACATATTCAGGACATTGCTAAAATCTTCAGGACTATTTGTGACAAAAATTTCAAAGACCTTGCAACAAATTTCATAACTGGTCATGAAAATCTACATGACGCCGCCTAAACCCTTCAGGGCCACAAAACCAATACAACATGACAAACTCTATATTTGTTTGGTTAACCCTAACCCTGCTGAATCCAACAGGATCCAACTACAAATGTACATGTACATCATATACGTATTGTCACAATTTGTATTTGTTCAGCAATTATTTTAATAAATGGTTAAAGAGTTCTGACATCAATCTAAAAAAAAAAATCCACTCAAAAACCATTAGGATGTGCCATCAAAATGGGTATATAATTTGCAGTATGCATAATAATGGTCAGTTTTGAAGAGGCCCCCTACCCCCCCCCCCCCCTTTGATTTTGCAGAGGTCTAGTGTGTGGAGAAAAGAAAAAAACATCTACGTTTCGATGCGGATGGACTGTGTGGTGAGGATGGGGCAAGGATGGGTTATCACCTGTGCTTTTCAAAAATAATATACATGTATATTACTTTCATTTCAGGTGGTGACACTGCAGCTTCAACAGAACTTGCATCATCGGTTCCAGTAGAACAGATCACTTTATCAGGGGAAACACTCTCATCAATGGTACGGGTACATCATTCCTCATCCTCCTCGCCCCAGCTAGACGGTATGTCAAATGGAGAAGGAGGTCCCCTTACAGAAGATGGAGACAATGGCTCAGAATTATCCTCCAATGATGGTGTCATGGGATTAGACAGTGATGAAGAGTCCTCATAAAGGAACAGTCAGATTGGTTTCTGCTATTTCATGAAGTGATGGATTGGGCTGTTATGAGCATTGCTGCTTCACTCTTCACAGTCTTGGTGGTGACACTGTTGGTCCAGATTTGTGGATAGCGGTAAGGAAATACATGCTGCTCTGCTTGACATGGATTCAGTCAGGTATCAAAAGCTTCAGTGTCAACTTTTTAAGGTTTGAACTACAGCAAATAGTGTCTTTTTGTATTGGATATTGAAGTGACTTTGTCGATAGTGTTAAATTAATATGAAATTTTGGCAGATAACAATAAGACATCTTAGAAACTGAAGTGAAAGAGATTGCAGGGCCAGGTGTCTGTTTTGGATGGTACATGATTCCAGACACCATATGCACTCCTATGGCAATGGGTTCTTTGTTACTGGTCTGTTAAAGTTCCAGATTTGTTAACCTGCTGCACTGCTACATCGATGGCACTGTAACAAATGCCGCAATAACCAACACTAATGTGCTGATCATTTGGCAATGAATTTATCTACAAGAAAAATTGCTGAGCAGCGATAACCAACTATCGCTATAACAACCAACCAGTATACCTAACAATCTCTTGTGAACACCAGTTTGTTTTAGTAACATTGCATACACAGATATGCAAGAAGGTATAAACTACATGTATCACTACGTACGTATTGTTGTTTGTATGACACTCATGTCTGCAGTCCAAATCTTGAACATCAGTTTCTGAGTACATGTACATTCAATCTATGTCAAAATATTCTGTCAATTTAACTGCACTTCTGTAAGCATCGTTAATATAGGGAGTCAAAAAACTAGGGAAAAAAAGTCTTGATTCTACCAGATATGCTGTTGAGGAACATGCATGTATTAAAATGGACCTGAAGACCCTATAATGCAGACACATGTCGGGCTCGTTACTGCAATCTGCCCAAAGGTCTCAAGTCCTCAAGTCTGCTGCTGCTCCACAAGTCTGTAGCTGCTTGCTTTGAGTGAGTTCAACATCAAGTACAAATATATCTTGGGCAAATATTGAGTATTGACACACACGTGTATACCTCATGATTCAATCAATGTTCTGCATATTTATGGAAAGAATGGCTTAACTACACTGCAGACCACTGTAAAGCAGAAATTGATAATGTGTGGAGAATTCAAACTTTTAATGACTAAATTGAATAAAAAACATCCAGACACAAGTACAATAAAAGACAAAGATAAATTGTAGGTTCTTTTTTGGTCTCATTTATAAATGTCCTTTGTAATAGGCTCTGTGGCTGCACTGTAATTGTCATTCTAAAACAAACCCCCTATTTTTTTTCTTCAAAAAGGTGATATTCAATGCATTCTAGGTGTTAGAAATATGATAAATACACAGTACTACCAAATCTACGAAGTTTTGTAAAAAAATAAAAGAAAAAAACAATAAAAAAGAGCCCAATCCTTGTAGAATAAATACCCGAAAGCACTGAACAATATTTAACAATAAATAATTTTACCAATTACTCTTGTCTTTGTTTTATGCATTAATTATTTCATACGTTCTGCCAAATTTGTTTTGTTGACTGATTTTCATTCACAGAATTTGACAATACTTGTAACTTGTGATTACAGAAAGGAATAGTAACAAACCAACAGATGTAAAACTCACACTTATGGGCGTGGTGAATTGGTTGTCACATATTGCAGGTGGTTACATTGCACCTAAACCACCTGGCCTTGCATTACTGTTCACCATACTACATTTCATGGGTTGTCTTTGTGTTTCAGGTTTGAAAACTTTTCTTTCAAAACATTTAGACTAAACCAAAATGAGAAAAAACCAAGTGCATTATTAAGTGCAAGTCAAAATCACATGCATTAGCCATGCCACAATGAATACATATCATTTGTTATGGGCTTAATCCTTGAAATACTGCCAGAGCCTGGGCAGGACTTGAGGTGATTTACAAAGCCAAAAACTCAGTTTATATGAACATTTTTGGCAATATTAACGCCTTGTTTGGTCTGAGGACCACCTGTGCTGGTCTTATAGTCTTGACATTGCCTGTCTATTTTCAGTACATGTAATGCACCAAAGAACTATCAAGGCTTTGGTTGTCTTACAACTGTTAAACTCTATTTCAACAGTGATTATTTTGGGGGTTCTTGGTTGTGTCACGATAGTTGTTTTATTTCCTTCATTTCTGATATAGTTGATCATATTTTCATTAAAGGAAACATACTGCAAAGTGTTTGGAGACAGAATTGCTTTAAGTCTGTATCTAAATTTAAAAAAACAAAAAAATAACCACTTAGTTTACATCTTTCCAGAAGAGGGACAAGTTACACTTAACGGGCGTTCAATCAAAGTAGCCAATCAAAGTAACCAAACTTAGAAGACTCGTTAATGTTTTTTTCAGTAGGTAGGGGAGGCTGGATAACATCTGCAAAAGTTTCAAAAATCGAACTTAAGTTGTGCTAACTGAAACAAACCTTTTAGTGCTAATGTTGAATAATATGTTGTCTAATTGAAATATTGCGACTTCAAAATAAAGAATGTACAAAACAAAAGGAATTTTTAGATACCGTTGTGGTAAACCCGTAAAAGATGTTGAGATCCATTGATAGCCTCACGTGTTGTGCATACATACAGCCATTTGAAAACATTTGAACGTATGCAACATGTATCTGTTTCTACTCCTCACCCTGGGATGTGTGTGCATTCTTCACGAAACTTTGGCTGTGCGAATGCGCAGAAACTGCTAATTGCGTGTTAGGGATAATATCAAAACAATCCACACGTTTTTAGGAATAAAAATGCTTATTACCGGAAATACTGTGCTGTTCCATTAATCACAGCGAAAATTAAGCTCCGTAGACTGTGTTCAAAACGCCTGGCAGATTGACCAAGTCTGGGTTGCTGTATCACATGACACTAACATGTACATGTACGTTTCTATCATGTTGGTGTGAGGGCGGGCATTATACTGCACGGGTGTTTATAAATACAAGTATGCACTATGCGTGTATAGGCACAGAGCGAGCGCAACCCAGACTTGGGCCAAGTCTACAATATGTTGGCTATGTATACACTACATGTATAAGTTTGTACGCTGAACTAATTTTTGCATGCAAAACTGCTAAAAATTTACAACACTATCCAGATGCCACTATACATGCATAGCTTGGCGTAGACAAATTATAAACATAATTATAGACATTCAGCAATTGTTTAATTTGGTTTGAAGACCATTGAAAGAATGTGTTGGTGCTTACATGTATTTGCGTAATATACCCAAATTAAAACAAACTTGTAATTACAGGGCGAGTCAAAAAAAGCAGAACCCAAACCCCCAAAATTATATTTCATATTTAAAAAAAATATGTAGCACCAAACAGAATAATGACTGGAAAGCCAATTTAATAAGCTACTTTTAGATGAAAAAATTACTGAAATTGCTCAGTCCATTCAAAGAATATCACCATTTGAACATAATTACCCTAAAACCTCTTTCGTCCAAAGATACGATTTCAAGAATCGTCCCAATTGTCTTCAAACATCAACAGGGATAAAATCTCAGTTTAAAAGTTAAAAATATTCAACAAAGTGCTTTGGAAGGACCGTCTTTTAAAAAGAGTGGATGTTATAAATCATATTGTTTGCCTAACCAGGGTTGTTAATAAAGATATTGTGTACTACAGTTGGTGACAGTTGTTAAAACAAGTATGCTGTGTCATTTTCTTTGTTGTTCCAAACAGTCAAAACACACAGTATATTGGGTTTTTTGTGTGAATGAAACAGGTTTTAGGATCATTGTGTTTAAATAGTGATATTCTTTGGAAGGATTGAGCAATTTCGTTAATTTCTTTTATCTAAAAGTAGCTTATGAAATTGGCTTTCCAGTCATTATTATGTTTGGTGCTACATATTTTTTAAATGTGAAATATATTTTTGGGGGTTTGGGTTACCCTTTTTTTACTCGCCCTGTATAAAAGTTCCAAATGGGTATGCCATATGGTAATCATGCCATATGGTATCCGTACCTCTGGATACATTCTTGGTCTTGATGTCTAGATCTAGAAAGTTCCAGGCCTGGATCCAAGTCCAAGGGAGGTTTGGACTTCACTGCTGTTTATTGATTATTAAATGTAGTTGTGCATTTACATCCAGTGCATGAAGCCAATAATGCTTCTGTAACATGACATACAGTGATGTACAGTATAACGGTGTGGTTCAGCATAACTTCACCTAAAAAAGCCAAGTTTATGCCAGCCGTCCTATCAAGTACCATGTAAATATGTAGTGTGCCAAAATAAATGTAACATTTGTATGGGGCTTCTGATCACACTGTGCCATAGATCATTGTATTGAAAACAAAAGCAAGTTCGAGTGGTAATACAAATATTTCAGAAATGCATTTGAATTGATTTGTTAAAGACTTTAAAGACCTGGGCTTTCACGAAATAGAAGTACAGTTCAAGACAATACATTGCTCTTATTTAGTTTAAATAAATACATGTACTTGCAGATAATCATGAGATTGCCCGGAGAATAAACATCTGCATGAGTTCATATGGCATTGTTCATGGTCTTTATTGCTTTTGATTCTAAAAGTGTGAGAAAATCCTGTCTAACAACTTCTGGATGAGGTTTAAAAAGACTTCTTATTGTTGACCATAGTTAAACCTTGTGGCAAACTGTTGCCTGTGTAGCTGAGTAGTATTATGGCACTAAATGTAGTAGACTGGCAGACAAGTTTCCACACCAGTGTTGTGAGCTGTTGATTTTTTGTTTCACTACATTGTCATGACAGCATATATTAGTCCAACAATGAAAAACCAATTCTAGTTTAACTTGAGTTTACAATGTTTGTGACAATAATTGCCAAAGTGGAAGGAAGCAAAACAAGTAGTTTGATTAAACTTAGGCGATAATACTACTCGTCATAATACTATTAAATGTATAGAAAACATATTTTCACGCTGAGAGTGAAATTTGGAAAAGACATTTTTACATGACGTACCTTTTTTAAACAAGGATGTATTCTGTACGTGAAGTGTAAATATTTTATGGTGAATAAATTGAACAGCAAGATGCCTTGACATACAATTACTGTACAAAGCTCTGTACTTTTTCCAATCATAAAAGGTAATTTTTGAAATAAAAATTAACCAAAATGACCTATTATTTGTCTTTTTTTGGTTTGGTTTGTTTTTCTTTATATTTATCGTTGTCCTTTTTTATAATTCTCTGCAGCTCTTTTTTTTTTAACGGAACAACGCATGAACTTCAAACTTGGTATGAACATCACCCATTATACAGAGATGTACAACAAGTTGAACATACAAGTGTGACAGATGATGTCGATCATGTGTTAAATTACAAGGGATAGGCCATGCATTGGTGAACATTTCATGTAGCTTGACCTTCATGGAAGGGCAATGTTAGATGAATTCAAAATACCAAAAGAACATTGATATATTAAAACAAACGGAATTCTTGTAAACAATTCAAGGTAAGAATATGAAGCCTTGTATAAATATAAACCCTTGTCCTAAGATGTGAAAACAATTCATACATCATCATGACGTCTTCACGCATAAAATTACAAACAAGTTTTACGTCAAAATTTGATAAAATAATTTGAAATACAACTTCGGAACTAAAATGAGTTCAAAATTAAAACCATCCAAATTAAAACTTTAAAAAGAGATATAGGACTTCATCCACTTTAAGATGACGTCACATATGACTCATGATGGCGTCATAATTATGCCACCTACTTAGGACCAACTTTAGCTTAGGATCTTTGTCTTGTTTAAAGTCAATCTAGTTGTATTTCATGTCGAATATTGCTAGTAAAAAAATATGTAAAAAGTTTGAAAATTAATAAAAAATTAGTTGGATTTTGCATACTAGTAAAAGAGTTTACCTACGCACCAACTCTCATAACAATTTAGCCTTCCCTTATACTACATGTAAAAAAAGTCCTACTTTTGATCCTAAATAACTCTGTTGTTTACCAATGGAAATAAACCAAAATTTCAGATCACATAGGCCTAAACAAGGCCTGACAAATTTTATGGACCGAGTTTCATCAGCTTTGTGCAAGGGGGTGAGATTTAAATGCCATTCGAAAAAAAAAAATTCACTTTCAGAATCTGCCACTTTTGACTCCGCATCCTCCAATGTGGATACAGCGCTGGAGACGGTGGCGGAAGGCGCAAGCTGCGGCCAAAAGCTTCTGAAGGAATGCAGGATCACCCCTGATGTCATTGCACACCTCCTTAATCGTTGGCACAACACAATCAAAGTGTGCATTGTGCAATGACATCAGGGTGGCGCGCCTTCCGCCACTGTCTCCAGCGAGTATCGACATTCTGAAAGTATTTTTTTTTTCACATGGCGTTTAAATCTCACCCCTTGCACAAAGCTGATGAAAATTGCTCCATACAATTTGTCATGCCTTGTTTACATGATCTGAAATTTTTTATTTTAATTTCATTGATAAAAATACCAGAGTTATTTCAGAACGAAAGTAGGACATGATTTTTTTTTACAAGTAGTATGTGTTTCCAAAAACTGCATTTTTAATGACGTCATTGTGACGTCAAACATGTTTGGAAATTGTGTGCATTTATCAGACGTAAAAAACCTATAACCAAAAGAATGTTAAATTTAGCGTTGTTTTGATGACATCATCATGAAGTCACTTTATTTTTCATCTTTGAAACATACCCATGTATTTTCAAGGTTTCAACCCAATTGGCTTTGTTAATCTCTTAAGATATATAACCAGGCGCCGATCCAGCGAGAGGGAGGGGGGTTGGGGGGTCGAACCAAAAAAACCCAGCTGTCAAAAAAAAAAATTGTTTTTCATAGAAATTCCGACAAAATAATGTGGACCCCCCCCCCCCCCCCCCCCCGCTTTGTACACCATTTTGTAATATAGTGTTAAGAATCGTGAAATTTGAAAAACGCCCCCTATTGCATTATGGTACTAGCCCCCCCCCCCCCCCCCCCGGCCAAGTGCTCGGAGAAAAAACCTGTCTACATTTCAGATTCTTTTGCTGATGAAAAAAACAACTGCAAAAATTCCTGGATCCGCCCCTGATAACTTTATATTATGCACCCTCAAGATGATGTCATATAACCCACAATGAACTCATTGTTTAAATAAGTGTTACATATGAATCCTTAACGACTGCCTGCCTGGCAATCGACAACATATAATCAACACACATAACAAACGAAAGGTCCTTTGCAATTACTAAGGGAATAAATGTGCGCTCCAGAGGTTTTTATTACTCTGTTTAAGACCGCTTAGAGTCTGGGTGCTGATAATTACCCGAGCCGGAGGCGAGGGTAATTATCAGCACCCAGACTCTAAGCGGCTTAAACAGAGTGATAAATACCGACCGAGCACACATTTATTCCCATTCATAAATACCTTTTCGGTAAAAAAAATCAAATAAATCGTTCAAAAAATCCTGATTTTGTTCAACAAGTTCACTTCATGCTTTTTTAAACATCCCTCTAGCAAAATAATGGAGTGTTCAGCTGGCGAGTAAGATGTAAACAACTCTTTTATGGAGATTGATGCGCGCGTAGCATGTTCTGCGCGATGTCGCACAGAACGCACCTGGGGCGTTGCGTTTTGAATTTAGAACTATAAAATTCTGACTCGCTGTAGTGTTGCACATGCCTACGTGAGGATTGTGAACGTTCAACCAATGAAATGGTAAGAGGCACTGGATTTTTAGGGGTCCACATTTTATTGTGACACTGGAAAGGTATTTAAGACCAGCTAGCCATGTCTTTATCATCCGTTTAAGACTGGCCACGTGACGGGCTCTCGACCAATAGGAATAGCTAAACTGTCTGAGGTATTTATGAATGTAGGTTATATTCTTCTAACCTTTTCAACTACATTATTTACAGTAATTTACATTAACAGGATTACAGTTTAAAAACATTGTAGAACTATTGTCATCAAATTAAGAGCAAGAGCCGGTGTTAGATTGTTCATTCGAGTTCATTATCATGTACTTAGCTAAGCTTGCTTGCTTGCTTGCATGTAGAGACGACTCCTCAGGACTCCTGCTGTCTCGTAGCTCTTGACTTGACTGGGCTGTGAATTCTCGTCATGGACTGCTTGTCTTTGGTGAGGCTAAGGCATTGGCGTTGTGCATAGACGAGTCTTGGCCTTGAGCATGCCAAGATCCAAAACTTCAGCTACAGAAATTTAAGCTGAGTTTTGAGTTCGATGGTCGATCTCCATGTCTTGGTCCATCGGTAGATACTGTCTGGCAATCTTGCCAGCAGGAATTGAAGAGTCTGCTGTCTTGAGTCAGTCCTTCCGGCCAAGGGTCTCAGATCCAATCGGTACCTAGACTCAGTTTGCTCTCATCATTTATATAGCCTTATTTTTTGTAAAAGTTTACATGATTGTCACATAAATTCTAAAACAAAGAATTTTAATAAAAATTGCTGTGTAGGCATGGGTTACATACAACAAATAAAACAAAGTTACAATAAGACTGCAACCTTGGAGCAGGTTGCATAAACCCCAAACTGCAGTATAAGCAACTTATGGTGCCATCTCAGGAAGGTCAACAGATCCATGTTACACAACTTGAAAATGTTGCTGTGTAGACAAGTTAAAAGAAAGTAAATTCATCCTTCAACAATTATCAATATTTAATATTGATAATTGCTATTAATCAATATCCCATGACAAAAGAATATCACAATTTAAAAGACGCCAAGAAGTCGTCACACATTTTCTCGAAATTTTGTGTAGATATCTATGACCTAATAAACCAATTACAAAAAAGAATTTTGATTTAAGCATGTTTTGTTCTCGAGATATTCAGAAGAGATGAAAAAAAATGAAGTATCAAGTGGGGGGGGGGGGGGGCAGTGGTGATGCGTTTCAGCTTGCCGGATAGGTGTTCCTTGTTGCACACAGTGTACGCTTGACATGCTAGGGACCTGTTGACGGATGACTTGATGCTTGGATGGTGGAAGGCGGTGCTGTGTATATATTGGTACGTGTAGGTGGGTTTCCGGTAGACTGTGCGAGAGAGGGTGCAATCCTGCTTTCTTGAGACATGGACATCAAGAAAAGAGATGTTTACATCTCTCTCTTATTCCACGGTGAACTGGATGCTGCACAGCGGAGGGAGGCGATGGCAGAATAATCAGTCTCCTGACATACAGTGTATGCTGTCCAAAACGTTGAGTTAAAACCGGTTCTTCTCAGAACCATGACATACTCACAAAAGATAAATTTCACACAGTGCCACCACAAACTGACCTTGCTGTTACCCTCACCATGCAAACTGTTTATTCTTACATGCTTTGAAGTACTAAGAAAGAACAACATATGCACATCAAATACACTATCCACTTTTATTCTGTGAGAGACTATATACAATGTACATTGATTTTTGCAACTGCCATTTGCTCAATCTGAGTTGTGCACAGCTTGCCAGACTGCACCGACTCCAAAACATGGCAAGCGAGGAAAATAACTCTTAGGAATAAGCGCTTTCATGTTACTCCTATTTTAGAGGAACTTCAGTGGCTTCCAGTTTCGTTCTCAGAGGCAACGTCTACATAAATTGTGAACTTATTTCTGACATAAAATGTGCTGTGTAATTGCTGGTTATAAGGTTGGACATTTTATGGCAAGTGCTATGAGTGCCCATCACTCATGTACATGTACTACATGAAATATGCCCTTTTTGGGGGCCAAAGTGACAGGAATTTTAGACAAAATAATTGTTACATTATAAAAAAATTCAAGTTATCATTTAATCTCCACACTATTGATCCATTAAGCTGCTGCCCATGATGCTTTGACCGTATCACAGACATGATTCATGCAGTGTGGCATTCCAGATGTGCACAGAGGGCAGGGCTGAATGGATGCAACATTGAAACTACAGTACAACCAAACACAAATCACACTTTTTACAACACTTTGCCCACACAATGTGTTTCAGTTTTCCCAGAGAATCAAATGGTAAGGACTGATTCAATAAACATTACAAGACTTAAACGTTATTTTACTTCAAACTTGATTAACACAAATTGTTGCAATTTTATAAAACCATTTAGCTCTTTGAAAAATGGGAATATCAAATAAAAATTATAATCAGACATAAAATATATTTTACACTTTACAAAACCGCAAAGGAACACGTTTACTTGGTCACTCCATGGTTCAGTTTTAACCAGAAACAAACATTTGGTTTACAAACTAGGCTTAGTTGCCAAACTATAATTAATGGTATACTTCAGTTAACTTCACTTATTGTGTAATCACTCAGTAGTCATTGCCAGGGTTACGCAGTAAACATCCTGCATCTCATTTCTTTTAAAAGCAGCCTTAATAATGTTTGAAAATTCCACAGCTGTAAATTCACCCCAAGATATTAATTTATTAATTTCTATGTTACTTCATCAACTTCTATTTTCTTCTATTATTTCTATTCTGCAACCTCATGCCCTCTTGAAGTTAAGATCAGATTAGTTTGACCGAGATTTGATGGTTCATATAAGCCCTAGGCTTCAATTCGACCCTCAATTTCAAGCAAGAATACATGTACACTGTAGTACAATGAGTACTTTATGTCCATGCAAGCCTTCGCAGTACGGTGAATGATTTGAAAAGTCCACTCTCCATGTATCTTAAATGTTGTGCATAGTTTCAAGACTTTCTTGATTACAATACATTCTGGCCATGACTGCAGTTGTAACACTGAGACCTCCTTATGATTGTACATGTATCATCATGTTAGGTTTACAAAGATTATGCTTCATCTTTAACTCTTAGACTTTGGATTCAATAGTTTAAATACATTCTTACTTTCAATCATTTTAAGAGCACAAAGATCCAATGAGCAGATACATAGGTACCATAACCTATTACAAAAAATATACAACCCAGAAAGCCCTTATTGAACAAGAGACGTGCTGTCCAATGCTGATGCATCTGGCTCCTTATATTGAGGAGAAGAGTATATTCGCTCTAGCATTGAAGAAATAGCTGACTAGCAGAGACATTAACACCACTACCATACCAAGGCAAAAAATCACACTCTGCCAAGAAAAAAACACACACAAAAAAGGAAACATTAAATGCTGCAAAATCCAATACACCAATATCATCATTAGTTTATGGAGCAAACAAATTTGTCTTAAGAGGGCTGAACATTTTGGTCAAAACATATAAAGCAAACTGTTTAACATGTACATTGTAATTTTCAAAATACATGTATTTGTTTCAAACAGTCTGCATATTTTCCATTAAAAATTAAAAAATTGTTATATTATCTAGCTCTAGCAACCACTGTTATCAGAGAGCTTTTAGTGTAGTATTCAAGATGTGAGGGCTCCTTTAAATCTCAAAGAAGAACTCACTAAATACATGCATTGTTTCATGGCCACTATGAAAGCAAATAACCATTGACCATTTCAAGTTATTTTGCATTCTAATCTTTCATTTTGAGAAATGTTGCTCTCCAAAAGCAAACATTCTTTGTCCTACAAGTGACCAATTAACACATGAAAATAACGACCATAGCTTTCCATGGCCAAATCAGCTTTTTGGCACGGCCATTGTGACTTTGGTCGGGGGCCGAGACATACATGTAGGAATGTCTCGCTGCAGTGAGCCTCACTCTCAGTCACCTTAAGGAGATAGTGACTTGTTTCAGTAATGCTTAATTTACAGCGGCAAGGTATCTTCATGCCTGCGATATTTCACTAGGAACCAGAAATGTCTCAAACGCTTGTGTTCCGGACAAAATGTCTGAATCTGAATAACGATCGCTGTTGTTCACATTTCAGACATTTTATCCAGAACGAAAGTGTTTTAAGAGCACAAAGATCCAACGAGCAGATACAGTTCTTATCAGTTCTTTAACACGTAATAGAAATCATGTTCCATACATGTACATTCAAACTGTTGACTGTGATAAGCCAATGTGACTACCACAATGTTAAGATGCTGACATTATTTCTCTCCAAGAGATAGAGATATTATGAACAATTACATAGGCAATTCAGACAAAGTTCCACACTGTCATGACGAGTCCCTCATCATGTCTAGTCTTAGCTGAAGTCATGTTATGGCCTAACCTCCCAGTCAAATGCCAGGCCAAGTCCATGGCCTTATCAAGAGGCACCCGTACCAAAGGCATACACTGTATGTAGGATTCTTTAAAATGTAAATCCTGTACCCACCTCTTGTTCTGGACTTGGCTTAAGGTAAACTCTTGCAGAGAAGGCAGTGGAAGACCACTGGCTCTCAGTCCATGTAGAGTACTGAGTGGATGTCCAATCTTCTTGGCCATCAATGAATGCTGGAGATTGAGCCTTGGCTAGATTCACATTACTCTTGACACAGTAGCCATAGCCATCCTCGGGATTCGGTCCTTGCATGAAGAAATAATGGGATATCTACACACACACACACACAGAAAATATCAATGTTTAATTAATATCTAGCAACAGGGGTGCTGTGGTCCAATGGTTACGGTGTTCGACTTGTGTGCCGTGGTCCATGGGTTCGAACCCTGACAGGGAACATGGTGCTTGTGCCCTTTGCGAGGCACTTTACAACAATTGCCTCTCTCCACCCAGGAGTATTTGGCCATCATAAATAACATACTCAGCTCAGTAATGAATAAAACTGATTTCTCTGTTAAACCATTCAACCATTAGATCCCAATTTTGTTGGCTGACTTTATATTTGCAAATTTGGTGCATGATATATCGAGTAAGACAAATTGTCAACATCAAAAGCAACTCCGATTATGCCTTCATACAGTTGACTCCTGTTAATAAGAGGTTCTCCAGATGTTCTAAATCACCTCGTATCGAGGTTCTAAATTACAATATAAGCAAAAGAATGAGCCAATTATAACCAACAATCGGATTGTCAGGAAGAAACAGGTGGATTTTACATAACTTAAATTAGTCACTGTAGCGCCCAAAACCGCACAAGCAATTTATGGTTTTATTGATTCTCCAGTGAGTAAATACAATGTACTACAATTGCTAATGCGTTAAGGTTTTTAAACATTGTGTCACTTTCTGGCAGACTTTCTGGTCTGCAGGCCGCCAGGCGGGCCCTATTGGTGGCCCCCCGGAAGCAGCGAGCTACGCCCCACAACCATCGGTCGTTGGTCTCGCCTCACAATCTTCAGTCACCGGTCACGGTTGGGTGGCCCATGAACAACGGGACATACCGCACACGGTTAGCCTTGCTCCAGAGTCCCCGCCTGCGGTGAATGCTCCACAGTCATCGTTCATTGGTCACGGTTGGGTGGCCCAAGCACAACGAGATATACCACGCGTGGTTGATGGTACACCGGAGGCCCGGCCCGCAGCGAACACCTCATGTGCGTCAGCCGTGGGCCACGGTCGGGTGGGCCAGAGACAATGGGATCTACCGCACACTGTCAGCTGTGCGCCGGGATCCCTGCCTGTGTTGAGTATTCACCCATCGATGTCTATTGTTTCTAAGGGAGTTGCACAGCCACCACCGCGTGGTTCTGTACAAGTCGCCCCTCCAGACGGCTCTCGTTCACCAGAGTCTACTCGGCCCTCACAATCGGCTGATTCATCCGATGTTGAAGAACCAGACCAATTACAGTGGCTCTCCATTACTGAAACGGAGCTTCGTGTAGTACAGAGAGACATGATACGGGTACTTAAATTACCCTCCGCTGATGAGCCCCCTCTGCCCGATCATAAATCATTCAAGCGTCGGATGGGCTCCACATCTACCAGTGACAAAGTGTTCCCCATACTTCCGTTGGATCAAGTATGTGTGGAACACATCGACAACATTATGTCAGCAGACAAATGGCGTCCATTTGCCAGACGGGAACTAGATTACTATCGTTCAGGGTTGGCGATTTTTAAAAAAAATCAAAGAAATCGGATTTTTAAATTTAAATCAGATTTTTTTGATTTAAATCAGATTTTTTTGATTTTTTTAACTTTCAAAATATTGATATGTCTAAACATATGTCTAAATCTCCCCATGCACCCTCACACCCATCACAAAGGAGTTTACAAGTTCCTATAATACCAATCATCCACAAAACTCAATAAATTGATAAATGCTTTTGAAAAAAATTGTATTGAATCAGTGATTAAAAAAATCACTTGATTTCTTCTACATGTAATTTACATCATTGGTTCAATGGTACATTACACTGAAGACACTTTAAAGGTGCATTGCTTGATTGATACAGCTGAGATACGCTGTGTGGATATGAATGAAAACTTGATTTATGGTACCTGTACATGGTATACAAAAAAAATATGGCAGTTCTCCATTGGCATGTTGATTTCAAAAAAATGCTTTTAATTTCAAAACCGGAGGCACTGATCCTTGTGTAACTTATAGTGTTTGATTGATGGTCCAAGGTGGAGAACAGAAATCAGGCCTTACACCTTTAAAAGGTTTTATATAAATCTCAATCAAAATTTGTAGGAAGAAATGTTAGGAATAAGACTATCAATTGGGACTTTGAATACACCTTTTGATGGCTCATGTAAGCCTTCACCAGCAGTTGATTCCCAATATTACTGTAAACAAATCAAGGAATGATTAAAGCAAACGTGAGTGTGCTCTCTTTAAAATTAAAAACTTTGAAGAAAAACTTTTAAACTCAGATCTTGACTTAATCAAAACAACGATTTTGTGTAATTATGCAAAATCTAAATTGAGTCGATGGTGATGAAGTAGAGGTGTTTGAATGTGTTAACATCATCTTACACCTTGTAATTAAGTGGAATCAGTTGATTTAAATGATTGAAATGACCCTCAACCAATTGATTTTGCCAAAAATAAGATTTTTACAAAAAAGTGATTTAAATTAGTGATTTTTATTAAAAAAATCATTTGATTTAAATCGCGATTTAAATCAGTGATTTAAATCAACGTGATTTAAATAAGCCAACCCTGCTATCGTTTCCCGCGGGAAGATTTTGGCAAATTTTTCACCACGCCTACCCTCCCCGACGCAGCAAAAGATAAGCTGGCGGCTGATGAGGGGAATTCGTCATCTAGCCGGCCCATTGTAGACAAGACACGGGGCAAGCTTGAGGACACTTTGAAGAAGATGGACTCGGCTTCCCGTTTCGGCTTGCGTTCAACTTCTTTCTTGCTTCTCCTCACGGAGTATTTAGCCTTAGGCTATGAAGACAAATCGCTGATTCCAGCGGACATGCTGACTGCGGCCCTTCATTGCCTTGACCATGCCCTGTGCACCGTGCTTGACCAGTTTGCACGCATGTCGGCCTTGGCAACCTCTGCCCGCCGGGGCAACGTGCTGGATGCACTTTTCTTCCCGTCGCGGGGTGCCCATAAGAGACTTGAAGCTTTCCCTTTGTTGGGTAAAGATCTCTTTGCTGGGAAATTCGAAGAACATATGAGAGATGAAGCCAAGCGTCTGAAGGCCACTGAAAAGATCAACTTCAAGGTGCCTCCAACCCCAGCGACCAAGGGACAACAGAACAAAGCCAAAACATCGTTTGTTGTTCCTAGACGCAAACCACTGAAATCTAGTCGTGGTGTTTTCGTGGCCGCACCGATAACACTTCCGGTGCGCGTGCCACGAGACTCACATGTTCTCCGGACAGCAACGGCCCCAATCCGGCCGTAGCTTCCAGGCGTCGGCCCCCGATATCCCGGGGGTTGCTGCAAATGACTTACTAGACTCATGGCGGCCTCCCGCCGTTGGACCCGTGGGAGGCCGTCTACGAGCCTTTGCGGGGTTCTGGGCTCAAATTACGTCCAACCGGTGGGTGCTCGACTTAATCAAGTGCGGCTACGCACTCAAGTTCTCGAACACCCCCCTGTTGGACATGATCGTTTGGCCCACATCAGTGCCGTCCGATCCATCGAAACGCCTCTCCCTCGAGGGGGAGATCAACTCTCTTCTCAAGAAACGTGCAGTACGCACGCTCCCCCGGGGGAGATGCGAAGGGGCTTCACGTTGACCTTCTTCTTGGTCCCCAAGAAGGAGGTCGGCACTTGACGCCCAATCTTAAATTTAAAGCCCCTCAACAAGTTTATTCGGCCACAACATTTTCGTATGGACACGCTCAGAATAATACTGGAGTCGGTCCACACACCGGCCCTGGGGGCCAGCCTAGATCTGAAGGACGCGTATTTACACGTCCCAATCAGAAGAGACCATTGGAAGTTCCTACGCTTCCAGTACCAGAATGTCCAGTACGAGTTTATGGTGCTTCCTTTTGGCCTCTCAACCTCACCCCAAGTCTTCACGCGGTTAGTGAAGACAGTCAGGGCCGCACTACGGAAGCAAGGGGTGATGATTTTCATGTACCTCGACGACCGGATCATCGTGGGTCCATCTCAGACGGCCACGTCAGCGGCACTCAACCGGACATGGCGGCTTGTGTCGGATCTCGGGTTTATCATCAACACCGAGAAGTCCCACCCACTTCCGTGCCAGTTCCCAATCTTTCTTGGGGCATCGCTTGACCTCAAGAAAGGATTGGCTCGTCCTACGGAGGAACGGATTGTCAACCTTCAGAGGTGTGTATCCCTGTTCCTTCCAGCTTCGAATGGGACATTCGCAGCTATTCATAACAACAACTCCGCCATACCTGCCGGCCTCACGTGACACGATTGCTCGCTGGCTGGTTATGGCCATCAAGTCGGCGATGGACACACCAACACAAGAGCCTGTTGGACCAGTCCATGCGCATGATGTCAGGGCAGCTTCCACTTCCTGGGCCTTCTTTAAGGGTGTCTCTATACGGGACATCACACAGGCAGCATGTTGGAAGACACCTTCACCGAGTGCTACTTAAAAGATGTTCTCCAGAAGGAAGGCAGAGCAGGGAGGGCAGTGCTGAGGGCGGCTAGCCGAGCTTCGTCACGTCCGGGGGACCCTCTCCAGCCAGGGACTTCCCTATAATAGGTGAGTCACCTTGTTTTGATTGCTTATGATTCACTTACATATTATATTGTGTATATATATGTATTGAGTCATAATGTTTTACACTGTATTGCCAGGTATCTTGGGTTTCCCGGTCCACCCTCAGGTGGATCAGCGGGACCCATCTGGGATTACATTTACGTATTTAGAGCCCCTGTGAGTAACAATGGCATCTCGCATGGCCCACCGCCTTGATGGTGCTAGTCTATGCATAAGTAGTATTGCTCTACAAGTAGAGTGAAGTAGACTCCCTCCCCTCCCAGAAGTGTGGTTGGGGTCTAGGAGCCAATACTTACCTGTAGAGCATCCCTCCCTCCTACCCAACTCTTCTCGATGCCATAAGTATTCTAACTTAACGCTTCAGAAAAGAGGATGCTCACGAGGCATGCGTGCCGCGGGGTATTATGGGTAGGTCGCCAGAGGGGGCTAGTGTATAAAACTCTTAGCGTGAAATACCTGCCGGTATAGGGAATATATGCATAAGTAATATTGCTCTACAGGTAAGTATTCGCTCGTAGACCCCAACCACACTTCTGTGGGGGGGGGGGGGGAATATCCAGTTCACTATATTAGAGAAAAGCTGGGAAAAATGTAAACATTTACACTGGGAGGTTTTAGCAGTACCTCAAAATGTATTCCCAATATACATGTATATTTTGGTGACTCGTGAATCGGACTCGGGCTTGACCTTTGTGACTCATGACTCAGACTCGACCAGCATGACTCGGGACTCGGACTCTGGAGAGGTAACTCGGACTCGGACTCAATGTTTGGTGACTCGAATAAAGTCTGCTGAAAGGTTTTTTAAATATCATGCTGCTCTCTGGCCGAGCGGAAAATCGGCTGATTACATTTAACTCAGGACAAACAGTTCAGGTGTGGGGTTTATTCTATTCTCCTCTCTTTTTATCAAACTTCTTTTCGGGAAGGGGTTGGGTAAGTTAGGAAGGATTTTAAGCACTGTGCTGCTCTAGTGGCAAGAGTACCGTGAACCCAAATTACAATGCACTCTCTGTCTCTTAAAAGCAAGAGATGCTAACAGCAGGCATTCTTTGTGTCATTGAAACCATTAGCAAGCATTATCACCGCAACAATTAGGGCCTCTTCAAATCGATAAACAAGACCCTTTTAAGTGTGCTCAGTGCACAACAATGCTTGACCACTCATACATGGTAAATAAATGTTCCATCACATGTAAAACATGTCTACATGGAAGTGGGAATGGCTGTAAGATTTTGCAGGTACTAATCACAGCGAGTTGTGCATAGTAAGCTTATAAAGAACTGAATAAGAGGTCCAATCGGAACACAGCTTTAAATTGAAAGATCACCAAAATACATTGTGAAATCTGGCCTTGCGTACTAAACCAGGTTTTTGTGTCACAATTTGCCTTAGTTTTGAACTCCTGGGATACAAAAAACATACGTTCATTTGATTCATGATTATTTTTTGTTTAATGGTCGTTTTCCTTTCAAACATCAAGGTTCAAGTTTGCACCAAGTTTTTAGTTCATCAATTTGTTTTGTTTGGCAGAAAAGCTTAAGAGAGTTATTGTCAAGAAGGAGAAGAATCAAAAAGTTTTTCAAAATCTAAAAAAAAGAAGTCCTGCTGGACCTAAATGAAAGTTGTATCAAGTTTTTCAATAGTCTTTTTCCAGAAACAATTGGAAATACATGCACTGGCCTTTTCTTCAGCAAAGTGTTCCTACCTGATCACTGTCACTATCTTTACACTGGTCCTTAGTTTCATCGGAATCATTATGCTCTGTCCATGTCAGGTTCCCGGTGAAGTATCCCAGCAAACGATAAACAAAGTTTCCCAAAGACCCTTGATCTGTCCCAAATACACCCACGTAGGCATCATATGAAACATTTGCTGCAAAGAAAAATGAAAAACAAAAATAACAATGTAAATCATTTCTCTGTTTTCCAATAGGTGGAAGTGTCAGTGTAGTGTCTAGGTCCAATTTAGGGGACAACATTAATGATATCTGAATCCCTTTGAGTATCTGGTTAATAATAACCTTATCCATGCAATAAATGGCTGAATTTCACTGAAGCTGAATTTTCCATGCTCTTCAACAAATTTAATTTTTTGCCTTAATAAATGTTCAATTGGTATGTTTTACTCCAACACTAAAAAAACTTTTCATTTTTTTTTTGTAGGGGGGAGGGGGGTGGGGGGGGGGGGGGGGAATTGGCGTCTGCGACCCTCTGAGAAAAAGATGATTGTTTTGGGCACCAACATACATGTATCTGCTTTGACAGTAGACTGGCTGCAGATCCACACATCATTGATCTGATGGCGGGGCAGGAACTAGCCTACCCCACGAGAATGGAACTATTATCTGGCAGCCAATAATTTCAAATTTAATTTCTAAAGTCATAATTTATTAACTTTGGTCAATGTCTCATTCAAAAGTGAATAACTTTTGTATTGCTAGGACACTAGCACTTTAGAAAAGGAATCTATTTTTCAGGATGAAACTTGAAAACAGCATGGTTAAGTACAGTAACTTTAATTTTATCACAATTTCCTATCAAACAATCGCACAAGTTAACTTTCACTGTGATTTTCTGAAGGTTTCATTGTTGCTTATAGACAACATGCAATGAGTGAAAAGGGCACAGTGTATATCTACTGACGTCAGCAAACTGGCCCATGGGCACTGACTGTCCATGAACCAAAGGTACATGAGTACCTTACTTACATAGTCTCTCAGATTCCGTCTTAGACACGACTGAGCGGAAAAGTGGACAGTTTGCCTTCACCAGAAAGCAATATAACATCTCATGGATCTGCATGGACAAACAGTAATAATTCGGACTATTCTCGTATTACTTTCAACTTGACTTCAGTCAAGTTTCTTGTTCCTGATCCTACAGGAATGGTCTTACACACGCTGTCAAGTACAGTATTATCAATACTTTATCATTTTTTAATCAGCTTTTCCCGTTCTTTTAAATTACAGTGCACTGTTTTATTTCCTATGGATAAGTGACTTTTAATAACCATTTCAAAAATCCCTTTTGAGTTGATTTCCAAGCACTTGCACTACCCCATATTCAATTGGCATGTTGTGGGCTGTTAACGTGTTTATTCACTAGATTTTCTGATTCCAATGTTAAGTGACATGATTTGACACCAATCTGGATACAGGCAATACAATGATTCCAAACCCAATCAGTTCACTCTTTCTTCAGAGGTACATTTACAAGAGATACATGTACTGGACAATTTAGTTTGAAAAATAAAAGGTGTGGTTGCTCATGTACAATTCACAAACAATGTGAAATATCAAGTATTTCGCTGTGTAAAATTCTGGTTTAAGTCAATAACATGTAGCACAAATTTTGTTTATTGAACTTTTAAAGCTTCCAATTAATTACTTATGTGAATAAAAGTACTACAATGTTCATGCAGATGTAGCATGCATACTTACAGTTGATACATTGGCACGGATGGACTCTTCATCTGTTGCATGTGGTCTAGCCAACTTATACAGGGCCCTTGCAACAGTTGTTGCTATTTCAGATAACTCCTAAAATATTAGAGGTAAACATGTTTAAACAAATAATTGACTACCCATTAAATGTGAATAAGGTATATAATAACTCTCCACATTTTTCTTTGCCAATCATATTTGATAATATTTAAAAAAAATGCCCTTGTGTGACCAAATGTAGTAAAGCCCAAGTCACACATTCACAGTTTGGAGCTACGGATATCCACGGTTTGAAATTCGTGATAAACCGTGGGAGTACCGTGTTCATCCTCAGTACCTCCGTGGTTATCCGTCATCTTCCTTGGGTATTCGTGGAGGGGCTACGGAAGTTTTAAACTGTTCATAACTTCCATGGTGAACCGTCATGAAAATTAATCCATAGTGCAACCGTGGGACATCCGTAGGACAACCGTATTTATTCGTAGTGTTATTCGTGGCTTTTCGTGCATATTCTTGGAGATTTGTAGCTCATTCATGGTGGAAAACTCTATGAATTTCCTATGAGTGTCCTGCGGATATGCCCGGATGTGCTTGGGTTCTGCTAAGGTTGTACTATGAATATGCCATAGGAGAACCTTGGTCATCCGTGGCCCAATCGCAGACAACCATGGCGTTAACGTCATTATTCTTAGTAATACCGTCGATATTCTTCAACAATCCGTCCATATTCATGACAAACCCTGGTGTATTCGTAGAGAAACCTTAGGACAGTCGTGGCTATCCGTCCTGAAACTTTAATGCATTCTTAGAAAGTCGATTTCTCCACGAATCTCGACGGTTCATCGTGATCGATTGATTCTTGTTAAACTGTGGATATTCGTAGCTCCAACCGTGAATGTGTGACTTGGGCTTTATCATAATGGAGCTTCATATTTTAGCAGACATATAGTGAAATGAAACGGCATCATGTTCCATAAATATTATTATGTATCATACACAACGACGTACATGCATGTCCACGAGGTCTGGCCACCTGCTACCCACTTTGCAGGTGAATGCCCACTTTTGCAGGTTATCTAAGTGTAAAGGATCAACTTGTCAGCACACATGCACCTGTTATACTTTACAGTATAGCAGTGATGACGACTACACTTTATGCCCATCGGTGTTGAAACGTCTTACGCTAAGTAATATTTTTAAAAAGATAAAAAAGTTTTTAAAGATAAAACACCTGGACAAGAGCATTTGGGAAAATTTTTTCTTTTGGACACCAGATTTATTGCTTTGATTAGAACTAATCAAAATATATACGGTTGGCATCATATCATTGCCAGCAGGCAATAACGGTGTAAAAACACACGCTCTGCACACATGTTCATGAATGGCCCTATGTTAAGAAAATGGTTAATTTAATCTTACCACTGCTAATGGAGACACTTGGGAAGTGTAATCCTCTTCAATGTTGATCAACTCGGGAGAATCAAACCTACTGTTGTAATAGCTGTAGAAGTACATGCAAAGTACATGCAAATATCAGTATCAAAGCGGACACATCTACATGAAGTTGCATGTTCTATACTGTACATTAATTTTCTTGCATTTATTATGAGATTTTTAATGTTTATATTCAGAAGGATAATGAAGGATAGTTAAGTGTGAATTTCAAGAAGGCTACCCTAGTTGTGGTGACTGGTAAATGTAATGGCTGTACAAGCATAGTGCTATTGAAACTAATAGATCTCTCTCAAAGGATGCCATATTCGTAAGAAAGTTTCAACTGCGTGTTCAATGCCATCAGGTGCGTGTGCGCGTAGCGTGCAAAATGTTCTGAACACATGCACGTGCTGCTCAAAACTTCTTAGAAATACGGCGCAGCCGATACATGTCAAAAAAATGTGATGCCCAAAATGCCGATGCACTTGGCAATCTGTAGGAAGTGACGTCATTTGAGAGAGACCTTTACTGTGCTGCCCTGAATTAATGTATTGGTTCTTCAGTGCCTGTCAGCACAGGAGACTCTTGCCTATGTTACTTCACCTATTCAACAAAAGCCCATTAACCCTAACCCTGCCAGACGCAGCACAGTGCATCAGGTGGAAAAGTCTGGTGCACTTTGATGGAAAATGCTACCAACACCAGTGCAGAAACCGGCCACTTCTGAGACACTTGAGGGCTAGTCCCATAGAACAATGCCCGAGTTGTATCCTGCTGCAGTGGGTGACCACAGACTCTGAGGCAGTTTGGCCTTAAGACTTTTGACCTGATGGATCTTGCTACACTGGGCAGGCTTGTCACTTAGACAAGTGTTGCATGTTGCTGCGTTTGGCAGGGTTTCTAGCCAAAATACCCTGGAGGGTTAGGGTTAACATTTTTGAATTAGATGCTATTGAAGATTGTTTTGGTGTTGATTGATTCCAAGAGACAGCAGCATAATCCCATACCACATCTGCATACACGTGTTCATCCCATGACTTTACAGGTGAATCACTGAATATAATGAGGTTTAGGCAGAGAAGGTACTTTGCCTATTGACTTGCTGACTTGCTGGATTAAACTTTGTGGAAAACCTATTATGCAAGCTTCACATCACCAAGCTCAAGAGAGTCGGAGAAAAAAATGCCTGAAGGCGAAAGCTAATTTATGCCCACCAGGCGGCTCATCAAGGTTTCAAGGAGGATCAGTTGTCTGGGTCTTCAATCCAGCCAAGGAAAAGGGGTTGTCCCCCAAACTGATGCTCACATGGGAAGGCCATGAAAAAGTGCTTTACATATTTTCTTAGCTCAGATTAGTTCGAACATATTTTTTTTTTTTTTTTTTACAAATTCCACTGAAGTGTCACAAAAATATTCATTGAGTGTCAAACATCAAATTAGGCAACGCTGCTACTAAGACACCACACAGGTGCCTTCCTCTTTGCTGTTGTAATTTACATCCATGATTCAAATTTTTGTTCAAATTGCCTCAATTGTGTTACTGATGATCAGAATGCAGCTGATTTTGATTTATCCAATGCATGAACTGCCAAAAACTGCACTAAATGTTACATTTGACTGTATGTGTATATGCCTGTTGTTAGTTTCCAGGTATGGTGGAAAATAATTTGACAAAAAGGGTGTTTGGCTCATTCACCTCAACACTTAAGAAATGAAGAATTGGCAACTTACTTGTTTTGATACTCAGTCTGATGATCAGTCAAGACAATACCTGGTACCTTGACTTTACTACGTAGGAACTGCTGGAATGATGCTGGGGGCACAGGCTGATTAAGAATGTCTGGTCTCTTAATGGTGATGTTACCAAATGTGGCCATCTGTAAGTTATCTAGCAGCTCATCAGTCTGCAACAAAGTGTTGGCCAGGAAATAAGACGATATGTTTACCTTGTTACACTGAGCCATTATGTGACAGAACTGTAAGTGTTATGAATTACATTGGAAGGAATACACACATATCACTGTTGAAATGGTTAACAATTACATGTTGAAGCACATAAGACTTAAGATACTGTTACTATCACACTATTCAATGGCACATGTATGTTTAAATTTACACCTTACATCAATACAATCTTCACAATGCTGAGAATGGTACAAATACACTAATTAGTAATGTGCAAACTAGCAAACGACAGGTTGAAATCCTTAAGCCTAGTTCTGAACACCAAAGCCTAGTGTCCTAAGATCTAGATATTGATGCTTGCACACATGTAATATCATTTTACTCTAGTGAGATATTTCAACTTGTTTTAAATTTTGAAACACAATTTGTAAGGAAGTGTTTTTGTTTGTTTACATAAAAAAACACCCGAGTTTAATAGTTACATTCTTGTAAAGATGTTACAGATTTGTTAACTGAGTGGGAGTTGGTTACAAGCACATGTTCATGTGTAAGCAGGCATCAATATTCCTGCCCAGATTCAACAACTCTTCACACTGGTGAGTCTCTAAATAAGGCCATTTACCTGAGTTTTGGTTTGTGGATAGGTGATGGGATCAATGTGTGCGTACACATTGCCATTCTTCACAAGGGCTAGCTGATTTAATTCCAAGAAATAACGGATATCCTTTAATGTGACGAAAGCAGGCTGAGTCTTGGATGCATCAGGAATGTAAGGGAAACTACCATTCAGCATGTCATACACCATCCGAGATGATCCAATGTAGTCATAGCTCTCCTACAGCCAACAAACAAAACACCTATCTCAGTATCACTGTTACATGTACATAAGGCATGTATAAAGCCTTCATTTTTCACGATGGAAAACCCATTACTTTCCTCAGGTAGTCTCCAAGAAAAGACGTTTAATAAGTTATTCTTTGTGAATATTAAACTTTTTTGGAGTTATTTTTAGCCGTCAATAATGACTAAACTACAATGTTGTGGTGAAGCAGTTGCAGGTAGCAACTCCAGAGAAATGTGCACCTATGTAATACAGGTATCTACCCGCATACTAATCCACTCCTGATCTCTGTTCTGAGTGCACCTATGTAATACAGGTATCTACCCGCATACTAATCCACTCCTGATCTCTGTTCTGAGTGCACCTATGTAATACAGGTATCTACCCGCATACTAATCCACTCCTGATCTCTTCTCACATACCAGGTTATGTACATGCAAATGGTACGACAGTGTCCTTTTTTCTTACCCCTTGGAAGAAGGCAAACATGATATCAGTCATGTTCTGCTTGATGTTGGTATTGAGTGCACCGAGTGCCTGAGCTACAGCCAGAAGTGTGATATAGCTACTAGCTGCATGCTCAGCACCACGACCAGGTTGAACATTGTAGAACAACGAGAATGAATCAATCTAAAAATAACCAAAAACACAGTTGTCATTAACAATCAAGTCCTAGCAAGATCAATGTCTCTGCTTTGCAGTTCCTATTTGCATCCATTTCAAATTTAACATTAATGGTTTTCATATTAATTTCATTTTATATTCAATTCAATTCAATTCAACAAGACGAATACTTTAAAACAAGCATAAATATTTAATACTGTGCACATGTATTACATGTGAATTATGTCTTTTGTGAGAAACTAGTAGAATATATCTTAAAGTGATACTACGCTCACACATTTATTAATTGTAGTCATATTTAAGTAGCGTGGCTTAGTCTGCTATTCTTACTGGCCCTGGAAGAGTTACACATGAAAGTAAGTAAAAAGTAATTAAAAAAACAAATAAACCAAGAATACCTGAGCTGCAGCGACTATGAGTGATTGCTCCTGCAGTGGGTTATCTTTGTTTGTTGGTTTCAATGTCATCCACACATTGAAATCACCAATAGGATCACAAAAAACAGCTGATACAAAGAAATGCAAAGCACAAGTTCAATATTGCACCTGTGGAAAAACACACTCATACTTTGCCAAACTAGCAATTCATTTGCTTGTTATCATGGTCATTATTGTTCCCTTAAATTATATGCATGTAACTTGCATACACCATAGCTCTAGTATAACTTGATCATTAAGTTCAAATTAAACTGTTACTTTTTATTAAGTTAACTTTTTAGCCCAAGTGACTTTTCTTTAACCCTCCTAACATACATTCTGTGCAAAATAGTCCTTTCAGTCAAGATCAAACAAGTGACTGTTTCAAAAGTTAAGAATTTCCAGCCTACATAAAGCAGGATTGACTGGCTGGGACTGTTTAAGTAACTTGATACAGCTATGCTTTGACTCAAGGTGAGTGATAAACTGCTGTGACCACAACTTGCCTGCTTTGTCTGTTGACCCATTTTGACTAGTCACAGTGCTTGTTTGACATGTGATCTGACTGCTGGTGACTAGCCTTTGTTAAAAGTATAGCAGAGGAAGTTGAAGTGAATTATGGCTGTCTGTGACTGTTAAAATAACATGAATAATAAAATCTTTTTACAGTCAAGAAGTAGACTTACAAACTTCCAGATTAGTAGTTTGCTGGGTTCGTCTCATACACGTTGGTGTATCCTTAGCACCAAACATGAAGGAATGTAGCTCAGCAGCACACAATGGATAACTCTGTGCACGATTATTCACTGGCTCATTGTGATCCTTGTAACACTGTTATCAAACAAAGATTCATACACAATGTTACCAACACTTGAAGACAAGCTGATACTCAATCTTTACGTAAAATATGCCCTAAATTATTAACAAAACATGCAATAGCTAATAGTCAGTATAGATGCATGTGCAATTTGTACATGTAGATGGCAAGCTCAACTTCGTACCAGGTTTGTCCCCAGATTCCAGCTTACCTGACATACATGGAGGCAGGATCTTATCAACAACTACGTGTATAGTCTCTAAGATCCCCGCACTGATTGACAACAATTGCACAAATTGGAAATGTTTCATTTTAAAATGACACATTAAACCTGAAATCAAGCCACTGTGAGGCCCATTTTACATGTTTTGTTGTCTCAATCATGACCGCTTTAATATGTTTCTTGGTCAATGCCAATGATCCATGAACAATACAGTGAATAAAATCTGGAAATGGTATGAGTTACTGACTTGTCTTCAATAAAAATGTGACTAACCTTAATGAGGTACTGCACTTCAGTCTCATTGTAGAGTGATATGATGGGTATATCAAAATCCATGAAGTTCATGCCATTCCCAGCAGGATTCCATTCCACACTGCCACAGTGGGCATACTCACTGCTGATGTTGTCACTACTGTAGAATCCTTCAATTTAGCATAAAAATCAAAATAGCAAAACAGCTCCTCAAAATACATGTATGGAAAGTCAGCACAGAGGTTTTGAACTTAATTTTTTGGCACTTCATGTGTAATTTGTGCTATCCACAATATGTACCTGAATGACTTAATGCTCTTCCTATACAAAGTGTAGAATCCATCATGTTTTAGTCCTGATCCAAAATATGTACATCTTGCCATTCAAATCTACACCCATGTCTCAGCTGTGCATGTACCAGTAGGCCAGCAAGTAAAGAAGAAGATTTGTATTTGAGAAATCCTTCCCTTTTTAGTTGAGGTTTCAATTGATCAAACTGCCGACTTATTTTTGCATCAACTAGTAAAGGTAAATGATGCAGACAGATAACGTTTGGTGATAATGGTATTATTGCCAAGTATGTTTGTACTTGAAAGACTTTGGTGTTTTTGCCTTGTGAAAGAAGCCTCCATTTTCTCAAAGGGGTTTTTGATTCATCAATTAAAAAAGTCACCAACCGACAGTTCAACTGATTATAATACCCAAATAATTGTTGCTGGCCTAATCTATGCAAAAATGTGTATGAAATAAGAATATTGATAAGGTGAACCCAGACCCTGCCCAACTGAGTACAATCATATATGTACATATTTTTTGTCAGCCCCACCCCAATACCACTTTTCAGTTGTGGTCTTGTGGATAATTACCATAGTTGTTTAATTGTGCAGACTAACATTGTAACAATGTTTTTGAGTATAAACCAAAATGCTCTCTTCCTTACCAAAATTGTCATTAGGGCACTTGAGATCTGGAGAGAAGTAGAAGTCCTCATCAATAACCTGACTTGAGTTGATGTTAATCACCATGATACCTGATACTTTACCAGACTTTGTCAGTTTATTCACAGTAGGGCTGAAGGAAAGTACATTTAGAAAATAGTAGTTAAGAAAAGAAGTCTACATTTTTGTCCTTGTGGCACCAATGGCCATGTACCAAATTACTGCAACTGATATTCAGTGCATATTGTGCTGGCAAAAAAAATAACAATTTTGACAATGTTAACTTTTCCTCCATTTTGAAGTTTATGAACTTCATCCAGTTAAAATATAATGATAAACGCCTTGATGGCAAGTCAGATTTTTGTCTTTGTCTTCATGCTGACTTTTAGTTGACAGCTCTAAGTGTAATACCTTCATTCAACGGAATTCATGATTATGCACCATGCATCAACATACAAAGCACACCAATGGAGATTGTTAAGTACAGGTAAGCACTAGGCTGCACTACAGATGTGACAGATATGACAGATGTGAAAGATGTGACAGATATGACAGATGTGACAGATGTGACAGATGTGACAGATATGACAGATGTGACAGATTTGACAGATGTGACAGATACAGCTGAAATACCACTTTCCTTTAAAAAAGGCTCCAAGCCCTGATTCAATGTTTTCCAGTACTTACAGAAGAAAGACTTGTGGTTCCATGAGTGCAATGTATGGTTTATGGGGACCAACATCCAGCAACCACTGAACGTCAGACACACTGGCCATGTAGTGAATCACACCAGTATTGCCATGAAAATCACCTACATGAAGAAAAATCATCAAACATGCAAATAAAAATAGATTGTATGATGCACATCTAAAACTGGTTAATTGGAAGGTACAGTATTTATGGTAGGCGATATAAGCACAAGGTTCACTGATTGACTGACATGAACTTTAAGCAGAAATTTGTTGTGCTGCTTTGGAGGCCACATTTATTACTGACCACTTGTTAATTTAAATGTACCAGCTACTTTTTCAAAAAACAATCCCCCAAAAACCCACTATTTGATACATGTATGAGGCAATATCACACAAACCACGGATTTGCCTAAAAATGAAAAAAAAATCCTAAAAAAAGGTCTGTATACTCAATGTTATCTGAGGGCTTTTGAGAAAAATTCACAAGCTTACTCGGATGGGACTTGACCCCATGACCTCCTGCTTACTAGTGCAGCCATCTTAATATCACTCAACCACTGAGCTTACCATGGTCAGCTGGCTGGTTGGAATGTAGCAGCTGGTACTGCAACCAACATTTCATACGATGGAATTTGCGTCAGGAAGATATCATGTTTTTTTATATGTTTGGTTGCAGTACCCACTGCTACATTAGTCTATGTAATAGACCATGGCGAATCTATTAAAACAGATTTGCTGATTAATTAGGCAAGACGGTAGACCCCGCCTCTTGACTTACTAGATTTTAACCAATCAGCAGGCGCTGAATGCGCTCCCGGCTGTTGTTATATTACAAAACACTGCATTCGAATTGACCAGCATTAGACAGCATTAGACATGATTTGGGAATGAAATGACGACACGATTTAGTAAAGTCGACTCCGATGGGAGACTTTCAATCTCCGCGAGTCACCGAGAGAGGGCGCTCATTACCGGGTAAACTACACGAAAAAAATCGTCTGAAGTTACTTGTGTACATTGCGTATCGACGTCGGTTTTCGACTTGGCTTGCTGTAGAAAATCACCCGCTTCTCATACAGAATTATGCCAAATACTCCGTGTGCTGTGCCGACGTGCTCAGGAAGAGGTGGACATGAATTTCCAAAGGAAAGAAAGAGGTGTAATGCTTGGCGAGTGGCCATACGACGGGTGAAAAATGACACGTACAGGCCGGTCATGGTGGCCGTCTCTAAGTGATGTTGTCTGCTCGGACCACTTCATAACATCAGACTATCAACAGTTTGGAAAGTCTGGTAAGTTACTTTTTGTCGAGATTTAGGCCTTAACGGGCCTCCCATACTCTAAATCAACCATTTAAGATTATTAAACCCATGGACTTTGGCAACGTTAAAGTTTACTAAACGTTGACGTTTAACTTTGACCTGATTTCCGTACATGTATGATGTAGTAGGCCTAGTAGTAGTGGTGGGGTTTTAAAGCTATAGTCCATCATTTGTAATTGTGCATTTTGTTCGTTTGAAGCAACAAAAGGGTTCAAAATCTAATGAAGGATACTGAACAACTAACCTGATGAAGTTTCAGCTAAGCTTCAGCTGTACATTCCGAGAAAAACAGCATTCTAAGATCTCAATTTCAAATCAAAAGTTACTGAATCATGTTTTGAATTGTTTTGAATTGCAGCTATACGCGACGTAGCGCACTGATCCGACGAATTATAACAACCGCGCGCGCGTGTGCGTCGTTCCAATACTTGTGCGCGCTGCGCTGAATAACAAAACGAACTACTAATTTAAATTTTCCTACGGTGCTTCTTAAGAATCACTGTTGGGAATGCCTTCTTTCGTTGATTACTTCAAAATGACAGCTTCCCAGAAGGAATAATTTCACAGGGAGTTTAGTTCCCTTACTATCTTTCAACCAAGTTTGTTTTTCAACAATAATTACGCCAGTTACTTTTCGGATGGCTGCAAATGATGGACTATAGCTTTAATCGAACTCTGGGAAAGATTCCCATATCTGGCCATCTCTCATTTTAACCTTCAGTGACCTATTAGCCATCAAAAAGTGATAATATGTCCTAAAGAGTCAAATTTAGCCGAGAAAATATTGAAGTATTTATTGAGAAAACACTTAGAAATGTTCAGACCAGTCTCATAGGGTTTGTGCACAGGGTGTCAAGTGATGGCCACATATGGGAATCTTTCCCGGACGGATTACCAACCATGACCAACTTGGAACCAACCATGACCAACTCGGAACCAACCATGACCAACTCGGACCCATTGTGAGGACATATGTTTTCAATCAGTCGATTGGAAAATGTTTGACCAACATCGTTGACAATGACAATGATCCTGCATAAAGACACACTCTCAGCACTCAAGATACAACCTGAATCACCTAGATTTGGAGACCAGACAGTTTTAATAGCTCAATGGATGAGCCAGTTGCACATTATCAAAGTATAAGCAACTTAATATTCTTGGATGGGAAACAGTTTTATGTTTACATGTAGTTCTTGGTTGGATGGCTGACTGAGATCAATGAGGCATATACAGAAGGCTTCCTATGTGTCATCTGTAGGGTCGCGTCCTTTGGATGGGACGTTAAGCTTGAGGTCCCATATACTAAGCCTTATGCATGTAAAAGAACCCAGAATACTTATCGTGAATTTTCAAAGTGGGGGGGGGGGGGGGGGAGGAGTTGTGAGACCATCTACCATTTTAGTGATGCTCACTGTGTAGGACACCTGCAACGAAGAAAGTTGAAACCAGATGCTGTTCCAAGCCAGTTCTCATGGACAAAGCAACCAACTTCAGCAGTTGTCTCAAGGACGAACCGCTATACAGAACGCTGTGCAAAGAGAGAGGGTACCTGTGATGGGTATTCTGATGAGCTGTCTCTGGACGTTGATGTTGACCTTGATCTGGACATTGCAATGGTGGTAAATGTGAACAGCGAAGAACAAGTACATGACCAGGCCATCCAAACAGACCTGCCAGAAACCCTGCCAACATCAGTATCTGCACATACACAGACTGACTCTGGGACTAAGGTACAGGGATTTACAATTCATGATTTCAAGAACGACCCCAAAGGAGTACACTACTACACAGGGCTTCAAGACTATCTCAACTTCATGGATGTACTTGCTTCGCTAGGACCATGTGCCTTTGAGTTAACATATGTTAATGGAAAAAGGCCATCCTTATCTGTACCAGATCAACTATTTTTGACTATAATTAAATGCAGGAGATATACAGCCAATTTTGAATTGAGTTGAATGTTTAAGATCAGTGAATCGGAGGTATACAGTATCTTTGCAACCTGGATTAGATTCATGCATCTTCAGTGGAGAGAGATAGATATCTGGCCAGATAGTGACTTGGTCAGCTTTTATGCTCCGTCTGATTTCAAGGCCAAGTTTCCAAGCACTCGAACTATCCTAGATGGCTTTGAATTCCCAGTCAAGAAGCCTAAGGTACCTGCTGCCCAGCAGGTAACATTTTCAACTTACAAAAACTGTAACACTGCTAAAGCACTGGTTGGTATAACACCAGGAGGTTTGATGTCCCACATGTCCGGTGCATATGGTGGTTCGACCAGTGACAGACAGATGATCAAGAGGAGTGGATTAATTAATAAAGTCAACAAAGGTGATTCAATAATGGCTGATAAAGGTTTTGATGTACAGGACTTGTTTGCACCAGTGGATGTGACAGTGAACATTCCTACTTTCTTCAAGAACAAGAACAGAATGACAGGTGAATCTGTTGTAAGAGATAGAAAAATATCTAGCAAAAGAGTTCATCTTGAAAGGATTATTGGACTTGGGGAAACATATAAAATATTGACACAGCCACTGAATCACACAGAGACAATTCTGTCTTCAGACATTGCATTTATTTGTTTTATGCTTGTTAAAGGGAATATACAACATTTGCAAACATCGAAAAATAAAACTACCAAGATTTTACGAAATACCTTACTAGGATGTTGGTCAATGACAGTCTCAAGCATCTTGTAAAATTATGGCACCTGATGGGAAGTCATTTTCAAGAAAATTGTCATTTTTGTATATATTTCCAACGGTGGTCGGCTGACCAACGTTGGAAAAACCTAACTATTTTTCAACTACTGCTCCAAATTTACCATTTTTCAGTCCAAATTTTGTTTGCTATTGGTTACATGTTCATGAACGGGTGCAGGCCAGTTAGACTGGTTCCCTTGCCTTACAATTTTCCATCATCTATAAATTGATCCATTTTATCTTTTGTGGAGTCAGGGAACCAGACTACATGAACATTTTTGTTTTTCTTGGTTTTTCCAACCTTTTCTAACACAAAACTTAAAAAATGTCAGTGTAACAATATTTGATCAATTATACTAACCCTCAAATAGTTCATTTCTGAAAATTACAGCAAAAGCCAATGATGTACATTCCCTTTAACTTCAGGAAATGTATATTTCAAAATAGTCACATACCATGGACCTTATTCACGAGGAAGCCATTTTGGTCGTGTTCCCTGAATGTATTTTATAAATTGTGGACTGTTGAATGGGATGGTGCTAGACTATTTGTTTACTATAGCCTCACTTTCATTTTTTTTTTTAATTTGGCTTCAAACGTTAGGGCATGGTTGATCACAAATACTAAATTATTCATCAGAGCTGACTGGTATAAAAATTTTATTAACTTTATGTCATTGCTTTCATTTCTCTTCGCAAGTTCCAAAAATGAAGATTTAACCTCACTTTCAATTTAATATGGCTGATTCGGGAATGAAGCCCTTAACTCAAAGGGTGAGGACAAAACAAATTTAATACATTTTTATTAAGGATCAAAATAAATCTGAAATAGCTTTTCACTACAAATTTGTGAGGCTCAACTTTTTGATTGCTGGCAAGAAGTGCATTTCTTCAAGGTCATTGAACCATAATCAGGATAAGCAGACATCATGACTGGAAAAGCAAGCAGTAGAATTGGAGAAATGCAGCCACACCTTTGGTCTCCATATAAACTCAGCCAAAACGCATGTTATGGTTCATGGTAGCAAAGAACAGATCTTTCTTGGCGGAAGTGCAATCAACCAGGTAGACAGCTTCAAATACCTTGGCT